TAGACATGCGATATGATAGTGTTGGAATTATTTCCACATGATGATATTGCAATATTAGTGTTGTTGTCTAAAATGTGAGTGTGGTGTTGATATGTTGTTATTTGTGATTGTTGCGTGTGATGTTGTTTAGTGTAGAGGGATTGAGTTGTGGTAGTTGTGTTTGTGAGAGTATGTGGTAGGTATGTAGTGAATGTGTTTGTAGTGGTATGGTTGTTGCCCCATGATCGAGTGATCACACTTAGTGTTGATCTTATGTTTCGTGGGGGAAATGGACTGAGTCCTGATCGATCTACACATGTTTTGTATACTGGACATGTGTGTGAACCAATCTGGATACATGATTGTGTGTAATTGTGTAGTGGATGTTTGTGTATCTGTGTTGTTTGTGATTAGTTAATATGTGTGTATTTGTGGTAGGTGTTGTTTTGTTTGTGATTGTTTGACTGGTTGATTGATTGGTGTATAGATTGGTTATGTTGTTTGGTTGATGTTTGTTGAGTGCACATCAGAGTCAGCTGCATTCGGTTCTACGTCCACGTGTGCAGTGTTAACTGTGTGCGAAATAGACATGCGATATGATAGTGTTGGAATTATTTCCACATGATGATATTGCAACATTAGTGTTGTTGTCTAAAATGTGAGTGTGGTGTTGATATGTTGTTATTTGTGATTGTTGCGTGTGATGTTGTTTAGTGTAGAGGGATTGAGTTGTGGTAGTTGTGTTTGTGAGAGTATGTGGTAGGTATGTAGTGAATGTGTTTGTAGTGGTATGGTTGTTGCCCCATGATCGAGTGATCACACTTAGTGTTGATCTTATGTTTCGTGGGGGAAATGGACTGAGTCCTGATCGATCTACACATGTTTTGTATACTGGACATGTGTGTGAACCAATCTGGATACATGATTGTGTGTAATTGTGTAGTGGATGTTTGTGTATCTGTGTTGTTTGTGATTAGTTAATATGTGTGTATTTGTGGTAGGTGTTGTTTGTTTGTTTGTGATTGTTTGACTGGTTGATTGATTGGTGTATAGATTGGTTATGTTGTTTGGTTGATGTTTGTTGAGTGCACATCAGAGTCAGCTGCATTCGGTTCTACGTCCACGTGTGCAGTGTTAACTGTGTGCGAAATAGACATGCGATATGATAGTGTTGGAATTATTTCCACATGATGATATTGCAACATTAGTGTTGTTGTCTAAAATGTGAGTGTGGTGTTGATATGTTGTTATTTGTGATTGTTGCGTGTGATGTTGTTTAGTGTAGAGGGATTGAGTTGTGGTAGTTGTGTTTGTGAGAGTATGTGGTAGGTATGTAGTGAATGTGTTTGTAGTGGTATGGTTGTTGCCCCATGATCGAGTGATCACACTTAGTGTTGATCTTATGTTTCGTGGGGGAAATGGACGAGTCCTGATCGATCTACACATGTTTTGTATACTGGACATGTGTGTGAACCAATCTGGATACATGATTGTGTGTAATTGTGTAGTGGATGTTTGTGTATCTGTGTTGTTTGTGATTAGTTAATATGTGTGTATTTGTGGTAGGTGTTGTTGTTTGTTTGTGATTGTTTGACTGGTTGATTGATTGGTGTATAGATTGGTTATGTTGTTTGGTTGATGTTTGTTGAGTGCACATCAGAGTCAGCTGCATTCGGTTCTACGTCCACGTGTGCAGTGTTAACTGTGTGCGAAATAGACATGCGATATGATAGTGTTGGAATTATTTCCACATGATGATATTGCAACATTAGTGTTGTTGTCTAAAATGTGAGTGTGGTGTTGATATGTTGTTATTTGTGATTGTTGCGTGTGATGTTGTTTAGTGTAGAGGGATTGAGTTGTGGTAGTTGTGTTTGTGAGAGTATGTGGTAGGTATGTAGTGAATGTGTTTGTAGTGGTATGGTTGTTGCCCCATGATCGAGTGATCACACTTAGTGTTGATCTTATGTTTCGTGGGGGAAATGGACGAGTCCTGATCGATCTACACATGTTTTGTATACTGGACATGTGTGTGAACCAATCTGGATACATGATTGTGTGTAATTGTGTAGTGGATGTTTGTGTATCTGTGTTGTTTGTGATTAGTTAATATGTGTGTATTTGTGGTAGGTGTTGTTTGTTTGTGATTGTTTGACTGGTTGATTGATTGGTGTATAGATTGGTTATGTTGTTTGGTTGATGTTTGTTGAGTGCACATCAGAGTCAGCTGCATTCGGTTCTACGTCCACGTGTGCAGTGTTAACTGTGTGCGAAATAGACATGCGATATGATAGTGTTGGAATTATTTCCACATGATGATATTGCAACATTAGTGTTGTTGTCTAAAATGTGAGTGTGGTGTTGATATGTTGTTATTTGTGATTGTTGCGTGTGATGTTGTTTAGTGTAGAGGGATTGAGTTGTGGTAGTTGTGTTTGTGAGAGTATGTGGTAGGTATGTAGTGAATGTGTTTGTAGTGGTATGGTTGTTGCCCCATGATCGAGTGATCACACTTAGTGTTGATCTTATGTTTCGTGGGGGAAATGGACGAGTCCTGATCGATCTACACATGTTTTGTATACTGGACATGTGTGTGAACCAATCTGGATACATGATTGTGTGTAATTGTGTAGTGGATGTTTGTGTATCTGTGTTGTTTGTGATTAGTTAATATGTGTGTATTTGTGGTAGGTGTTGTTTGTTTGTGATTGTTTGACTGGTTGATTGATTGGTGTATAGATTGGTTATGTTGTTTGGTTGATGTTTGTTGAGTGCACATCAGAGTCAGCTGCATTCGGTTCTACGTCCACGTGTGCAGTGTTAACTGTGTGCGAAATAGACATGCGATATGATAGTGTTGGAATTATTTCCACATGATGATATTGCAACATTAGTGTTGTTGTCTAAATGTGAGTGTGGTGTTGATATGTTGTTATTTGTGATTGTTGCGTGTGATGTTGTTTAGTGTAGAGGGATTGAGTTGTGGTAGTTGTGTTTGTGAGAGTATGTGGTAGGTATGTAGTGAATGTGTTTGTAGTGGTATGGTTGTTGCCCCATGATCGAGTGATCACACTTAGTGTTGATCTTATGTTTCGTGGGGGAAATGGACGAGTCCTGATCGATCTACACATGTTTTGTATACTGGACATGTGTGTGAACCAATCTGGATACATGATTGTGTGTAATTGTGTAGTGGATGTTTGTGTATCTGTGTTGTTTGTGATTAGTTAATATGTGTGTATTTGTGGTAGGTGTTGTTTGTTTGTGATTGTTTGACTGGTTGATTGATTGGTGTATAGATTGGTTATGTTGTTTGGTTGATGTTTGTTGAGTGCACATCAGAGTCAGCTGCATTCGGTTCTACGTCCACGTGTGCAGTGTTAACTGTGTGCGAAATAGACATGCGATATGATAGTGTTGGAATTATTTCCACATGATGATATTGCAACATTAGTGTTGTTGTCTAAAATGTGAGTGTGGTGTTGATATGTTGTTATTTGTGATTGTTGCGTGTGATGTTGTTTAGTGTAGAGGGATTGAGTTGTGGTAGTTGTGTTTGTGAGAGTATGTGGTAGGTATGTAGTGAATGTGTTTGTAGTGGTATGGTTGTTGCCCCATGATCGAGTGATCACACTTAGTGTTGATCTTATGTTTCGTGGGGGAAATGGACGAGTCCTGATCGATCTACACATGTTTTGTATACTGGACATGTGTGTGAACCAATCTGGATACATGATTGTGTGTAATTGTGTAGTGGATGTTTGTGTATCTGTGTTGTTTGTGATTAGTTAATATGTGTGTATTTGTGGTAGGTGTTGTTTGTTTGTGATTGTTTGACTGGTTGATTGATTGGTGTATAGATTGGTTATGTTGTTTGGTTGATGTTTGTTGAGTGCACATCAGAGTCAGCTGCATTCGGTTCTACGTCCACGTGTGCAGTGTTAACTGTGTGCGAAATAGACATGCGATATGATAGTGTTGGAATTATTTCCACATGATGATATTGCAACATTAGTGTTGTTGTCTAAAATGTGAGTGTGGTGTTGATATGTTGTTATTTGTGATTGTTGCGTGTGATGTTGTTTAGTGTAGAGGGATTGAGTTGTGGTAGTTGTGTTTATGAGAGTATGTGGTAGGTATGTAGTGAATGTGTTTGTAGTGGTATGGTTGTTGCCCCATGATCGAGTGATCACACTTAGTGTTGATCTTATGTTTCGTGGGGGAAATGGACGAGTCCTGATCGATCTACACATGTTTTGTATACTGGACATGTGTGTGAACCAATCTGGATACATGATTGTGTGTAATTGTGTAGTGGATGTTTGTGTATCTGTGTTGTTTGTGATTAGTTAATATGTGTGTATTTGTGGTAGGTGTTGTTTGTTTGTGATTGTTTGACTGGTTGATTGATTGGTGTATAGATTGGTTATGTTGTTTGGTTGATGTTTGTTGAGTGCACATCAGAGTCAGCTGCATTCGGTTCTACGTCCACGTGTGCAGTGTTAACTGTGTGCGAAATAGACATGCGATATGATAGTGTTGGAATTATTTCCACATGATGATATTGCAACATTAGTGTTGTTGTCTAAAATGTGAGTGTGGTGTTAATGCAATTTGGTATTTGTTTTTTTCTAGTTTTTGTATTGGTTTTTCCTGTTTTTCAGTGTTAGTTTTTCGGTGTTTCTGTGGTTGCGGTGATTGGTTTAGATATTTGCTTTGATTACGGATATCTGGAATGACGAGGTTTTGTTTTCTGTTTGTTTTGCTTTCATTACGGTGTTTTCGATTTTAGTCTTTTGATTTTTGTTTTGGATTTGCATGATGAATGTTTGTTTGTCATTGGTGTTTTGTTATCATTTAATCTATTAAAAGATCCCCATGGTATTGAAGACTAGTATTTGAACGAAGAATTAGCTTACCAGATATGCTTCGTTCAGTTGCTGATGTTGTAATGTGATGGTGATCTTTGAATGAATAACATATTTAATCTTTTTTATTTTTGTTTACGTTTCGTTATTTAGGATGTTTCACCAAATATTATACATCTACTCTTGGATATTCATAATCTTCGTAATGCTAATCTTCCTTCTCCGTGTACATTGTGTATATTTGATGCATTGTTTCGAATAGGACTTGTGAAAGAATTAATCCCATTTGAAGATGATGTCATTTGTGATTTCAGCTGTTTTTCTATCGATTTCACTTATATTGTTGGTTCAATTTATGATGATACAACATTGAGGTCCGATGTTCGTGATATTATTGATTGGTTTGTATCACCACTTCGTTTACTTTCAGAACGTAATATCACAATTGACAAAAAGTGTTGTGGATGTAGAACTGAATTACAAGTTCCTTTATCAATCCCAATATTTTGTTTACCACTAATTAGGTAAGTGTTTTAATTCATTTGTTTTCCTTATTGTTTTCCCTATTTTCTGTTGTCAAGTAAACTTTCACTTTGTAAGGGTGATAATAATCAGTTGACATCTGTACAGTAACTAACTTACTGATATTGATCTTAACCGTACGTTTTGATATAAACCATCTGCCTGGGGTTTTTTTATCACATGGTCGACACGATCATTAGTTGAAGACGCTGATTGGTATTGCTCAGAATCAATCCCAAGATCACCGAGTGATTTACACTTTGTATTCTTTATGTTTGTTCCCCTGTTTTTGCTTTGTATAAACAACTCGGTTTGAAAAGTACATGTTATGCTCCATGGTAATGATGAATAAATGTTTGATTCCTCTCCCATTAATTATTTTGGTATAAATAATTTATCTCAAATACAAACAGATCCATTTAATTACCGTAAACATCGTCTAGAGATTTGAAGTGATTTGAGTCCCAGCCCCCAAATGCCCTCGAATGGCCGAGAGTGGGGTGGGCCCGCCCTCCCTCTCGAAATGCTCTCACACGGCCACGCGTATACAGCCTCTGCCAGGGAAGTCCTACTCACTGCCTTCTCGCACCACGGGTGTTGTTTACGAAAATGAGAGGACGAAAACCGAATGTCCGGCGCTTTAACCGTATTCCAAACCAATGGTGCACATGGGCTCCAGTATCCTGCGTAACAAATGGCGTATGAACCAATCGTTGGTGACCGGCTACCATGTGACTGCATCTCCTCACGATGCTCCATTGCCTTGTGGGTTAGACCTTTAGGTCGAAGGCTCGGGGAGTAGCCCCCTAAGAAAACTACCTGCTTCGGTCTGGGCACCGGTCAGTATCACAGCCCTCACACAAATCGAATGACTTATGTGGCGCATATGTATTTGGTGTCTGCTTTCACCAATGTTTATGTTTTTAAATAAATAAAAAATAATAATAATAAATTTGAGTCCCAGAATCTCCTTATAACAGTTTTTTTCATTATTCTATGCCTTAACTTTTCTACTACTAACGATACTGTTGCTACTGCTACAATCCTGATATTAATCTTGATTATTCTACTTTGTTGTGCTAATGTGTTATGGGAAGTTGAACCGATCCTCATATGTAACAAGTGTAAAGTTGTATATGGTTAACTGTAATTTGATTATTCAGCATCGGTTAGTTTAATTTATGTAAGACTTCAACAATACTTCATAACTGTCAAAATCGATGCATATTGATCATGATTCAAATCTGTAACTTGTTCAATAGTTGAAATCATGAGTCAATTGAAGTTGGACCACCATGGAAAACCGGGAAGTAGTGGATGGCCGTTTCGTCTTATTACAGGATTCCTCAGCAGTATTTAACATCCTTTGAAACGATTTGACACGATATTGTGTTTTCAATATTCTACGCCGATATCTATCACATTTGAAACTTAGTATATCCTAACCAAGTTGAATATGTTTTTTCCTCTATCTCTCTTATACAACAGACCATTACCGGTGGAAAATATTTTAAAATTATTGGCTAATACATTAACAACACTTGTAAATACTCTACATTGTTCTACTGAGTTCAGTTCAGGTTAGAATTACATCTTATTTTCTTTCTTTTTGTTTATGTATATTGGTGATTTAATTTTCTCTGTTTGTTGAAACTATCCAAGAAATACATATTTGATGTTGAAAGCTGTTGACTAATCAATTACTAACTTATACTGCCTTTTCGTGGCGGGGGTGTTGTTTAATAAAAGATAGGACAAAAAGCTAATGTCCGGCGCTTTAACCGGGTCGGTGGATACAAAGGATCCACCTGATGTGGAGTTGGATGACTTTGATTCCAAACAAAAATAGTGTACATGGGCTGCAGAATCCTAAGGGAACAAATGGCGTATGAACCAATCATTTGTGATCGGCTACCATGGAACTGCATCTCCTTACGTTCATCCACTGCCTTATGGTTTAGACCTTTAGATCAAAGCCTCGAGATGTGACTCCCTAAGAAAACCACCCGCGAAATATCTTAGCGCAAATGTATTTGGTGCCTTCTTGTACCAATGTTTATCTTTTCAAATAAACTCCTCATTAAGAACTATATTTCCACAGAATTAATCAAAACACACTATCCATGTAATATTTTTCTTTTCAAATAGAAAATAGAATAACCATAGAAAACAAAGAGCGATTATTCCAAATGATGGCAGTCGTACAAGCTGTACAAAAACTTCAATTATGCACAAATCATTGTAACACATCTTTTCAAATTACTCCTGATGAATTATCCTTGAAACAATTGATTTCACTAGCCAAGTAAGTGTATTCAAGTAGATTAATCGTATTCAGGGAACAACTAAAATACATAGTGTGTTAAAACAAATCTCATTATAACAATACTTCTTCCCTCATTATACACCTCACTTAAATACAAGATATAAAGATAGGAAAATCAAACCATCAGCGAAGAGTAGAGCACCAGTTAAAAGGCTCTGATTCGTGGTGAATGAATATAGCGAGTTTTCCTGTTGTTCCACAGGATAAATTGTCTACTGGGCATGAATGTAGAGCTGTGTATCACACCGACAGAGTGTAATCTCTGTTTTCGGGTTGGAGCTCAGCGATATTGATTGTTTGTGTATGGATTGTGGTGGATATGTGATTGTGTTGAATTGTGTGGATGCAGTTGACGCAGCTGCACTCTCGGGTAGATGTTATTGTCTATCGGAATTCGGTTGCTGCAATATTGAGTGTTACCCTTGCCTCTTACTGCCTATGACTGTGGCAGTCCATCATTGAGGGTTGACATGTTCTGAGAGTGTTTGTATTCATGTTAAGTATGAATCGTGGTTTTTGCATTCGTGACGATAGTGTTGTTGGTTGTTTATGTGTTTATGTTAATTAGGTTTGTGTGTGTGTGTGTATGTGTGTTTGTTGTAGTTTGTTTGTGGAACGTTTGTGATTGTGGTTGAATGAATATGGTCAGTTGTTGCCCATAATACATTGTGTACTGGGCATAAATGTAGAGCTGTGTATCACACCGACAGAGTGTAATCTCTGTTTTCGGGTTGGAGCTCAGCGATATTGATTGTTTGTGTATGGATTGTGGTGGATATGTGATTGTGTTGAATTGTGTGGATGCAGTTGACGCAGCTGCACTCTCGGGTAGATGTTATTGTCTATCGGAATTCGGTTGCTGCAATATTGAGTGTTACCCTTGCCTCTTACTGCCTATGACTGTGGCAGTCCATCATTGAGGGTTGACATGTTCTGAGAGTGTTTGTATTCATGTTAAGTATGAATCGTGGTTTTTGCATTCGTGACGATAGTGTTGTTGGTTGTTTATGTGTTTATGTTAATTAGGTTTGTGTGTGTGTGTGTGTATGTGTGTTTGTTGTAGTTTGTTTGTGGAACGTTTGTGATTGTGGTTGAATGAATATGGTCAGTTGTTGCCCATAATACATTGTGTACTGGGCATAAATGTAGAGCTGTGTATCACACCGACAGAGTGTAATCTCTGTTTTCGGGTTGGAGCTCAGCGATATTGATTGTTTGTGTATGGATTGTGTTGGATATGTGATTGTGTTGAATTGTGTGGATGCAGTTGACGCAGCTGCACTCTCGGGTAGATGTTATTGTCTATCGGAATTCGGTTGCTGCAATATTGAGTGTTACCCTTGCCTCTTACTGCCTATGACTGTGGCAGTCCATCATTGAGGGTTGACATGTTCTGAGAGTGTTTGTATTCATGTTAAGTATGAATCGTGGTTTTTGCATTCGTGACGATAGTGTTGTTGGTTGTTTATGTGTTTATGTTAATTAGGTTTGTGTGTGTGTGTGTATGTGTGTTTGTTGTAGTTTGTTTGTGGAACGTTTGTGATTGTGGTTGAATGAATATGGTCAGTTGTTGCCCATAATACATTGTGTACTGGGCATAAATGTAGAGCTGTGTATCACACCGACAGAGTGTAATCTCTGTTTTCGGGTTGGAGCTCAGCGATATTGATTGTTTGTGTATGGATTGTGGTGGATATGTGATTGTGTTGAATTGTGTGGATGCAGTTGACGCAGCTGCACTCTCGGGTAGATGTTATTGTCTATCGGAATTCGGTTGCTGCAATATTGAGTGTTACCCTTGCCTCTTACTGCCTATGACTGTGGCAGTCCATCATTGAGGGTTGACATGTTCTGAGAGTGTTTGTATTCATGTTAAGTATGAATCGTGGTTTTTGCATTCGTGACGATAGTGTTGTTGGTTGTTTATGTGTTTATGTTAATTAGGTTTTGTGTGTGTGTGTGTATGTGTGTTTGTTGTAGTTTGTTTGTGGAACGTTTGTGATTGTGGTTGAATGAATATGGTCAGTTGTTGCCCATAATACATTGTGTACTGGGCATAAATGTAGAGCTGTGTATCACACCGACAGAGTGTAATCTCTGTTTTCGGGTTGGAGCTCAGCGATATTGATTGTTTGTGTATGGATTGTGTTGGATATGTGATTGTGTTGAATTGTGTGGATGCAGTTGACGCAGCTGCACTCTCGGGTAGATGTTATTGTCTATCGGAATTCGGTTGCTGCAATATTGAGTGTTACCCTTGCCTCTTACTGCCTATGACTGTGGCAGTCCATCATTGAGGGTTGACATGTTCTGAGAGTGTTTGTATTCATGTTAAGTATGAATCGTGGTTTTTGCATTCGTGACGATAGTGTTGTTGGTTGTTTATGTGTTTATGTTAATTAGGTTTGTGTGTGTGTGTGTGTATGTGTGTTTGTTGTAGTTTGTTTGTGGAACGTTTGTGATTGTGGTTGAATGAATATGGTCAGTTGTTGCCCATAATACATTGTGTACTGGGCATAAATGTAGAGCTGTGTATCACACCGACAGAGTGTAATCTCTGTTTTCGGGTTGGAGCTCAGCGATATTGATTGTTTGTGTATGGATTGTGGTGGATATGTGATTGTGTTGAATTGTGTGGATGCAGTTGACGCAGCTGCACTCTCGGGTAGATGTTATTGTCTATCGGAATTCGGTTGCTGCAATATTGAGTGTTACCCTTGCCTCTTACTGCCTATGACTGTGGCAGTCCATCATTGAGGGTTGACATGTTCTGAGAGTGTTTGTATTCATGTTAAGTATGAATCGTGGTTTTTGCATTCGTGACGATAGTGTTGTTGGTTGTTTATGTGTTTATGTTAATTAGGTTTGTTGTTTCTTTCTACTTGTTTTTGCTGAATAATTGGTCTTTATTTCGTATTTTTCAGGCTTACTTCAGTAATTAGTGATGTTGTTATCATGTTTCTTTGTTTACTGAATTGTGTTGTTATTATTATGGTGTTTTCAATGTTTTCTTCACACATCGTGAAATGTCTTTCTTATTATAATGTTGTTGTTAGGGTTAAGATAGTTATATGATATTGTAGTGAATATGAGCATAGTTTGCTGTAATCCTTATGTTTTTAATTCATTATTGCAGAATTATTTGTCTTATTGTCTGAACCATACTTTCAATTGTTTATTCATAAAATGTCTATTAATTGTTTCGAAATCGGTTGTTCCTTCATTGCTACAACATTCATTCTGTGTTGCTGTTCTTTTCTCTTCGGTATTTCAATCCTTCGGCTGCCAAGCATTCCGTTTCTGATAGGTGTTGTTTACCACTTATATAGACATAAGTAGTATATATCACAATATGGTGAATGGTGAATAGCATTTTCAAACCTTAATCTTTTCAATTACTGCTTATACTGTTACTATCTCTACCATTACAGGATTTCAATCTACAATTGTATCTCTTTACTAATGTGATATTTCAACTTGAATTGGTGTACGCACGTACGAAGTTCTATGTTGTTACTGACTGACTGATAACACAATATGATTTAGATATTGTATTAGATATAATTAGTTTCTATTACTCTATTGAAATTTGCAATCTCTATTCATTCAAACATAATCTGTCATTTAAACGTTCTAAACAACATCGTTATACAATACAATCCATATTTGTCAAAATTCTCTTACTGTCACTAACAATTTACATCCTTATTTTCTTTTATTATTTGTTGCTTCTTATGATTGTTGTTGCTATGGGTAATAATTCGATAGTTGATGTTGATTTAATGGTATAGGAGTAGGTTGGAAGAAAACTAGGTTCGGTCAGACCAAAACATGACACAAGTAGACTGAGACATGTTATTAGGTGTAGACTACCTGGTTGGGGACCGCAAAATGATAGCAACTGATGGCTAGAGACCCTAAATGACATGGCGCAAAATTGTTTGCAATGGCACACGTGCATCCACTCTCTGTGCTCTCCCAAATTCTAATCTTCTGAATTCTTCATGTCTCTTTCTTTTTTCTCTTTCCAAATTTATTTCACTGTATTATACTTCTTGAATAACATCTTCAAACACTAATCTTTTCGATTACTGCTTATACTCTTCATACCTCTACCAATATGGGATTTCAATCGACAACTGCATCTCTGTGCTAATGTGGTATGGCAACTCGAACTGATGTACGTACGTACGAAGTTCTACGTTGTTACTGACTGACTGAACTGTTGATTTAATGAAGCTCTCAATGTTTACAAGTGTTTTTTCCTTTTATATTTCTTGATAATTTTTTTTAAATTGTTTTCAGATCTTATCATAATTTATATCCAGAATATTGTTGTATCCTCTTACGTATTATTGATATTCTCGTTCATTTATTGATTACTAATAATGATTATAAACAATATCTATTCAATCATCAAGATATTCTATATGGAAATTTATTACCATTGTTAATGTCTTCAAGTCATCAGGTAAATTGTTACATCATATGGGGTTGTTTTTTTGTTTAATTTTATTTATTCAGTTATTTAATCATATAGATATTGGTACAAGGAGATACTAAATAGATATGTGCCACATAAATCATTCGATTTGTGTAAGAGCTGGGATTATTGTATGGATGCCCAAACCGAAACAGGTGGTTTTCTTAAGGGGGATCACACACGGAGCCTTTGACCTAAAGGTCTAATCCACAAGGCAGTGGAGCGATGTCACGACATGCAATTCTATGCTAGCACATGACTAACGATTGGTTCATAATCCATTTTTTAACTTCAGGATCCTGGATCCTATGTGTACCATTGGTTGGGAATCAAGGTTTTTCAGCTCCACTAGGTGGATCCTCCCATTCGTTTAAAGTGCCAGACATTTGCTTTTTGTACTCTTAATTTCATAAACAATATTCCCACTACGAGAAGGCAGTGAGTATGACTTCATTACCCGTGGTTGTATATGCGAGGCACTTCAAGAGGGAGAGTTAACTCTCCCTACCGTCCGCCGTACCAGGGCATTTAGGGACTTTTTACACAAAGAAATTACTTGTTATTTTTAAGAAAATTTTCCTCATCATTATTACATATTTTTTTTAATTACTTATCTTATTTACCCAGATAAGATTACATGTTCTAAGAATTCTATTCGTAATCAATGGTGGTTTAAGCAATTCCACTGATAATAATAATAATTGTTCAAATGATGAACAATATAACTCTACTGTACAAAATATTATTGAAAGATGTTTAAAAGCTGAAAAAATACAACTTGGACATCAAACTGTACGTGATTTTCTAATGCATATACTTCAATTACATGCTGATCGTGATGTGAAATATTGTCGACAAGCCGCTGAGGTTAGTTATATATATGTATATTCACGTTCATTATTGATTTATTTAAAGATTGTTTCCAGTATGAAGTGCCCATCGTGGAGGAGCACGGGCCCACTCACCAGCATTCTTCATCGAACTCTTTCCTGAACCCTGCTTTCCAGTTGCTTCTGCCTGTAGCTCTTTTAGGATTACTCCCGAGTAAAGGAGAAGAGTTGGGCATGGGTTCAGCAACCCAATCCGTCTTGTGATAAATACGTAAATAATTGTTGTATATGTCAAGGCTCATATGTGTAACCAGCTAACCTAGAGCTCTTCATAAGGTAAACTATTTGACAGGAATCTATAGATCTTGTATTCGTTCTTGCTTATATTCGTCATCCATCAAGGTAATATACTTCATTCTACAGTCAATCTAGTTGTAACATCTCTGACTGGTCAACATTGGCTAATTCAGATTAAAATCTCATCTAGAAACAACATCAGTTCTTTGAATATTACAGATATAAATTATTAAATAGCGGTACTTCCAAGCATGTATCTTGAATCCATGACTTTTTATAGAATATTTTCAACTGCTTAACATTCAAACTAAGAGTTATATGAAGTCATTCAACTAATTGATTGTCATTTATTGCTATTTGGTTTGTGAAATTCAGTCAACAATATAGATCAAACGATATGTGTTCAATTTACTTTACTTACGCCTGTTACTCCCAATAGAGCATAGGCCACTGATCAGCATTCTTCAACCCACTCTATCCTGGACCTTTCTTTCTAGTTTTATCCAATTGTTGTTCATTCTTCTCATGTCTGTCTCCATTTCTCAGCTTAATGTGTTGTTTGGTCTTTCTCTTCTCCTTTGGCCTTGAGAATTCCAAGTGATGAGTGGTTGTGTTGGTGACATAGTTCGGTGTTTTCCTCAATGTGTGTCGTATCCACTTCCAGCGCTTCTTTCTGATTTGTTCCTGTGCTTGGATCTGGGTTTTTTTCCTCTCCCATAATAGGTTGTTGCTGATGTATAATAACACATAATCACTTATATACATGTATGTTGTTAATTATCTTTATACAGATTGCTATTCATTATTTATTTGGTCTACTTCATGTTCAATTCACTGCTATTTGGTCTCCAATAAATGAGGCTATTGCAAGTTATTGTGAATCAAATTCATTATTAAAGAAAAAATCTATTAAACATGAAAATTCATCTCATGAATTAGAGATTAAAGAGAAAAATTGGAATATTGAATGTAGAAATTTATTCTGGAGTGTATTTCAACCATTATTAATGGATACAGAGACAAAAATTGCTCATAACAACAATGAGGGTTAGTATCTATCTATCTATCGATTTTCTTTCAGTCATTATTATCTTTTCAATGTTCTGAGTAAACTGTTAAATTATCTTTTACGTCCTTGATCGGTCTTTTCAGTAATATACATGAGAGAATTTGTCTTGATCTAGATTAAGGCACTGATATGACAAGCTTACTGGTTCGAACCTTGGGTGTTAAAAATGTGTGAGTTTGAATTATGACTAACTAACTGCCTTGAGTAGAATAATGAACACTATTCTTTCGCCTGATTGGTTGACTAGAGAGAAAAAAAAGAAGGCGAGTCAACTGGAACACTACTCGATTTATCCTTGATTCCGATTAGTGTAATAAGATAGAAGAATAAATAGATGACTAACACAACCACAACGCACAAACCATTGAATTTATAAATTAACACTGTTGGATGTCGGCTCAGTGGTCTAGATGTTAAGCATTCGTGTGCGAGACCGAAATTACTGGGTTCAAGTCCCGCGTGCGGAATCATGGGTGCACAGTGCTGAGAAGTTTCGTAGTAGGACGAAACGACCGTCAAGTATTTCTTAGTGCATATAGAATCCTATCGATCTGTTTCTAATATGTTTACATGACTACTGGCTAGTATATGAAGTCCTTTTTAGTTCTGATCAAGTTCTATCGTGTCGACTATTTCCAACCACCACCCAATAACAGCTCATCATCGAGTCACTTAGACTTTTAGTGGGCACATTTCTGTTCGATCGACAGAATTTTGTCAGAAATAAGTAGGACCTGATACACACGACGTTAGTCACTACTTAGCGATTAATCAGTTATAGACTGTCATATATTTTCACTAATCCGTACATGGCATTGAGCTAAGGGATAATAATAATAACTGCAACGATCTAAATATTCGTCTCAAGCGAATAAATTATGAAGATTGTGACACATAACCACTAATGAAACATCTTGCTCAGTTTCATAACAGGTGGTCCTGTTTCTTTTGAATATCTATATTAGCCTCCAAATGCCCTGGTACGGCCGAGAATGAGGAGAGTCAGCTCTCCCTCTCCAAATGCTCTCACATAGCCACGTGCATACAACCACTGACAGAGAAGTTTTACTCTCCACTGGGGTGTTATTCACGAAATTAAGAGGACGAAAAGCGAATTTCCAGCGCCTTAAACGAGTTGGTGGACAAGGAGTCCACCTAGGAGAGTTGGAAAACCCTTATTCCAAACCGATGGTATAGATGGACTCCAGAATCCTAAGGAAACAAATGGCGTATGGACCAATTATTGGTGACCGGCTACCATGGAACCAAATTTTCCAACGTTGCTCCACTGCCTTGTGGACTAGACCTATAGGTCGAAGGCTCGGGGTAATTTATGTGACGTATATCTACTTGGTGCCTCCTCGTTCAAAGATTTATGTGTTTAAATAAATAAATCATCAAACCGTTGTACCCCCCCTCCCCACTTAATTTGTTGTTTCTATTCATTTCAGATTTATCAAATGTTTCAGATTCTAAAGAAACAAATCTGTACACATGTTCATATGAAACTGCCATCATATGGTTCACATCAATTCGTCCAGATTTATATAGTGTACAAAGAAAAACACCTAATAATCATTGGTTAGTTATTGAATCGAGAAAATGTCCAGATTGGTTATCTTATCGATTATGTTTATGGCAGTGTTTACGTTGGAAAATCGCTGCAAAATATACACATTTTCTTACACCATTATTATTGAATATAATTAGGTAAGATTGAAGATAACAATTTGTTTCTTCTCGTTTTGAATGTGTAGTTTGTCTACTTTATCAAATCTTTATAAAGACTCAGATTGATTTTGAAGTATTCGTACAGTGTTCTTGATATAAATAAGAACTAGAGGTTCAGAGTTCTCCATAACGAGCTAACATCAGTTGTAGTGTAGAAGCGCTTGATAGCCATGCAATATATACTTTGTGTTCAGTTCATTCACGTTTAACATTATCGTTTTAACTCCATAGTGACAATCAGTAATTACCCGTTATCGTTTTGAACAGTATACCAAGGTTTTTCTATTGCTCATCATAAATGATATTTGAATTTCTTACAAAAGCTTAAAAAGCTCATTCTCAATTCTAATCATCCAGTCCCTATTATATACTCTTACCTTGACAATCTTTAGCGCCTCTTAAAGTTAGCGCTTGACTTTGAGACTATTTTTCAATGATCGTTAAGTATTGATGTCGGTCTGTTTTCTCTTTATCAGAAGGTCGTTGCTACTAGACAATCTAGATGAAAAACTCATTACTCTGATTAGACTATAATGCAAACTTTTTTCTTGATTAACGACTTCATAACACGAACTCCAAAATAAGTCTATAATTTGTTTTTCACTTTAATGTTGTCAAATCCAATTCTCCATGGAAATACTTCGTAGGTTAATACGTATTCATGTCTTTAGCTTACGATAAGATGAACATTGAATGAAACAATTTTAAAGTATCTTTCTTTTTTTTCTATTCTTTTTAGTTCTGCTATTCAATCTGGTTTAAATAAGTCAACAGAACAGTGAGTATTGGTCTTATTATTGTTAATTACAAATGTTCGACGCTTTGACCGATTTGGTGGATATGGAGGATATAACTAGTGGAGTTGGAAACCCCTGAGTCAAAACTAATGGTGCACATGGGCTCCCGTATCTTAAAGGAACAAATGTTGTATGAACCAATCGTTGGTCACCGGCTACCATGGGTTTGCATCTCCTGATGTTGCTCCACTGCCTTGTGGATTAGACTTTTTGGTCGAAGGCTCCATGTGTAGCTAGTTCCGTAAGAAAATCACCTACTTCGGTTTGGGCACTTGGGCATTGATCCAACGATCAATCGCTCACGCCTGAAAATCGAATGTCTTGCATTGTTGCACATTGTTGAAGAGTTACCTACTAGGACAAAACCTGATTCCAGGTTGTGTTATTTTTCAAATGATTTCAATTAAGGTAATTATCATTGATCTCTTCAACTGGAAATTGGCAAAATAAAATTGCACATAATCTTAACGTTTCAATTCACAATTTGTTTTTCTTATAGACTTCTATTGACTATCCTGAATTTGTACTCTCAATTCAATAATATCAAATCAATTTATATGGAGAAAGAGTTCAAACAAAATATTTACCAAGTAAGTATATTACAAATAATAATCAACTAGTCAATGTTCATAGGTATTGAAACAATATAACAATAATACGATAAGACCTTGATTAGATAATTTTTTTATACTTTACTTAGTTACGCCTGTTACTCCCAATGGAGCATAGGCCATCGACCAAGATTGTCCAACGCACTCTGTCCTGGGTCATCTTTTCTAATTCTATACAATTGTTGTTTATTCTTTTCATGTCTGTCTCCATTTCTCAGCGTAATATGTTGTTTGGTCTTTCTCTTCTCCTTTGGCCTTGAGAATTCCAAGTGATGAGTGGTTGTATTGGTGACATAGTTCAGTGCTTTCCTCAATGTGTGTCGTATCCACTTCCAGCGCTTCTTTCTGATTTGTTCCTGTGCTGGAATCTGTTTTTTCCTCTCCCATAATAGGTTGTTACTGATAGTGTCTGGCCAACAAATCCGAAGTATCTTGCGTAGACAGATGTTAATAAACACTTTTATCTTCTGGATGATGGCTTTAGTGGTTCGCCAACTTTCCGTCAAAAGCAGTAGAACTGTTGTTGACATTTGTATTGAAAATTCTGATCTTGGTGTTGGTTGACAGATAGTTGTTTTGAGTTCCAAACGTTCTTCAGTTGTAAATATGCGCATTTAGAAAAGTTACGATTAGATAAATACTTTGTTCCAAATCTTTATCTGCTAAACTGCCATATGTTTACAATTGATTGATAGCTGACTATTGACCATTGTCATATTCGTTAAGTCTTTCTTACTTTTGATCGAAATTCATGTTGCAATGTACACACTACTAGTCTAAATGATTCTACATCGTGTACTCTCTTTTGAGAAGTAAGGAGGTGGTAGTTGGAGGTAGTTGCTGTGAATCCCTGCACTATCCTAGGTTTCATGCTATTTGGGATTGGTTAGCCAGTTCAAACTGTAATCTTGAGAGAACTGATGTCCTCTCTCTGATTCGATCCGGTGTCACCCTACGTAACAGTCTGCACTAAGAAGTATTTATTATACTTTATATTGGTCACTACTCAATAATCGGTCAATTGTAAGTACATCTCAATCCTACACGAGGTCAGTTACGGTTTGAATGGTGCAAATCGATTCATTGTCTTTAAGAACCACATTTTCAGTGATTCACATGTTTTTGATTATTATTGTTACTACATTATTTACGACTCCTTCCCCATACATCTAATATCATAGCGCGATTTATGTGAACACGCTTTTGTACGCGAGGCTTTACCTTGATTGCAATGACAGGAGCAAGTAATCTGTTTTTCAAGGTTAATTAATTACTCTTTTCACTATACTAAAAATATATTCATCTATGCAACATTGAACCAATTCATCACTTTTTTCACGCGACGATAGTGTTTTTACGAAATTGCGAGGACGAAAAGCGAATGTCCGGTGCTTTAACCGGGTCGGTACATATAGAGGATCGACCTAGGAGAGTTGGAAAACCCTCATTCCAAACTAATGGAACGCATGGGCTCCAGTATCCTGAGTGAACAAATGGCGTATGAACCTATTATTGGTCACCAGCACCCATGAAACTACTCTCCTAAAGTTGTTCCATTGCCTTATGGATTAGATTTCTAGGTGAAAGGTTCATAGTGTGACCTATGAAAACCATGTGGTTCAGTTTGAGCATCCAAGTAGTATTTTATCCCCCCCCCCAGTGTAATGCATTTGTATTCAGTGCCTTCTTGTACCAATGTTTATCTGATAACAGTTTTCATTTTGATTGCGTAATCAATTGTTTCTCGTCTATTTTCATCAACATTATTTCTCTTTTCTAATTTCTTTCTTCTTTTTTTCCTTACTATTAAAAGTTATTAAAATTTAAACAACCCACTGTACAAAATGCAGCATTCAAATGTTTACTGGCTTATAAACAGTCGGCAATTAATAATTATCAGTAAGTTAGTTGTTTGTCATTATTAGTATTACGTTATTTTACATCATTTTTTTTCACGATTCAATCTGATATTTCAGTTTTTAACTCTTGAGGCAATTCAACGTCAAAGAACCGGTGACCAGTAGAACTAATCCGTGTCAAGTAGAGACAGGCATCTATCTCAGCATATTGGAATATGGTCGCGCAATTTCGTGGATTGTTTGAGGTTATACATTAATACCGTTAGATGCCGGTTCAGTGGTCTAGAGGTTAAGTGTTCGCTTGCGTGTTTGAAGGCCCTGGGTTCGAATCCGGCGAGCGGGATCGTGGATGCACACCGTCGAGGAGTCCCGCAATAAGACGAAATGACCGTCCAGTGGTCTAACACCAATCGGTTCATGATTTCAATCAATAATCTCTGATACCTTATAGTGTTAATAAAATTTTCTATCTTGATAATCAATTCCCTGTTTAATATGTTATTCTCCAATGATATATGCACAAATTCATATTTGCCAATAAATCGTAGAATGAATACAAACCAAAAACAACTGACTCGTTTCACAAGAACTGAGATTTGTAAATGGCAAATGGATTCGACATTGAAATTACTAAGCAGTTCGATGATTCAGCTAATATTTTGTGATAACTGTTTTTGGGATGGCTGGAAGGAAGTTAGGGGCGGCCAAACCAAAACGTAGTGTCAATCCTTGAAATCACTAACTTCTGGTCTGAGCTATGTTGGTAGATGGAGACTACTTGGTTATGGTCCGCATGACTATCGTAACCAATAGTTGGAGACTGGATTATATGGCTGAGAATCGATCACACTTTTTGTCTCCCTTTAAACTATGGGATTAAAATTGTTTTATATCTTTCGTCTTACCATCTAATTCTTTCTTTCAATACTATATCCTTATACACAATATTTTTATATGGTACTACCATTGAATTAACTACTTCTATGAATTCGGTGTTGATCTTGTTGTGTTAATGAGGTGTGGCAACTTGGACTGATGTATATATGTGCCTGATCCTACGCTGTAGCTGACTGACTGGTATTAACTGTGAAGATGCTACAAATTACACAACCGTCCCCTTGTATACAAATAATATTCATGTGTACATTAATGACCAACTTCAAGATGGAATTCTTGGATTACTAGTGAAAAATCGTAACTGGTGTAGTTTAGCCATGTCAACTGTGAAACAGTTGTCCATCAATAGCTACGTACACTAACAAACTTACTTGGTAGAAGGGGCGTCGACCTTATGAATTCTGAAGAATCTCGGCTTCCACCATTAGACTTCATAATTCTTCTGAATGAAGATCCCTCAACTCCCAGAGCAGAGTCTAAATGGTTTTATTTGTTTATTCTGCTTAGCGTTTTTCTAGCAAGTTTGTTTATTACAGGATGGGCTTGCCAACCACATGTAAAACCCTTCTCCTTTACCCGGGCTTACGACTCGCAGTAACCCTAGAAAAGGCAGAGTTAAACTAACCAACTACCTTTCTTTCAATAAACACTAACTTGCATATGATAGTTTATACATAAATTGTATACATCGTAATTTCAACTTTTTTGATGACAATGTTTTATCCTTCAGAGAACAAATAGAAAAGATTATTAATCCACAAACATTTCGTGATGCAGTGCGAACATTTCGACTGGACACATCTTTGTACTCTTCGGAACATCGTGAACAAATTGGTGAAGTTTTGTTACGGTAATTTTTCCAATTACATTTTATATATCTGTAATGTAAAAATATACATGAAATTATCCAACACACTTATCGTGTCTAGATACATATATAGAGTTAGTCCTTCGTCACACAATTTGTTTGTTTGGATAGTGGATAGTCAACTACTACCTATTCGGTAATCCATATGTTTTATCCCTCCATGTATTCATGGTTATCATTAATTGGATGGTTGGTTCTTTTGAGAAACTATATTGTAGAATTATTCAACCGTTCATACTGACTTTTTTCACCAAAATATTCTATCTATGAACTTCAACTGGTTAGATATTGAAATGTAGTATTTCTACAAATTCCCATACTGATAACAAACATGTGCTCACTAGTGATTAGCTTCAAGATGTAACTCCTGGAGTTCTAGTGAAAAGCCGTGACCAGTAGAGTCCAATCTTTGTTGGATGTGAGACAGTTATCCACTGCAAGAAATTGATGAAGGGTTGAGCAAGATCATGGATCAGTTGACGTTAGACATTAACACCGTTGGATATCGACTCAGTGATCTAGAGACTAAGCGTTCGCGCGCAAAACCTAAGGTCCTGTGTGTGGGATCATGGATGTGCACCTTTATTTGTCCCATATTAGGGCGAAACAACCACTCAGTACTTGCAGGTTTTCAATAGTGGTCTAACTTAGATCGACTTGTGATTTCAACTGTTAAAATAAGACATAAATTCGAGTCAAACGTTTAGGAATCCAGTTTGTATTATCACTAATAGTCCACAAGTTTAAAATATGGCTTACCATCAAATATAAAAAATATATTTTAGATTACGTTGACGGATCACCAATTAGAGACCAAAAATATCATTATATTTTATGGTTTCTCATCAACTGCTTAAAACCATTCATGTGTATTCAAGTGTAACATATAAGGTATGATATAATGTGAAACAATTGACATTGATAATGGAACGAATTAAAATGACCAATATTATCAATACTAACTATACAGACATATCTGTTCAAAAACAAATATGAGGTGATTTGGAAATGGTATTCAAAAAAAAAATCAAACGGAGAGTAGCGTTTGAGGTTGGAGTCAAATGAAATCCAAAAACAGATGTGATAAATTGTATGGTGGTTTTCTTAGAGAGTCACACACCGAACCTTCCACCTATGGGATATGCCGTCTCATGGTAGCTAGTGACCAACAATAGGTTTGTACGCCATTTGTTCACTCGGGATTCTGGAGCCCATGTGCCATTAGTTTGGTATGACGGTTTTCCAACCCCTCTAGGTTGATTCTCTATATTCTCCCACCCTGTTTAAGAGTTAGAACCAGTTACAATTCCGATTATAATTTTTCCATACTGCGTATGCTGTTCGGTCTACGGCCTGGCGTCCTAAGTATCGTCCAACGATACGTCACGATCGACAGTGTAAACTAGGAACTAATGTAAGCTTAAGTCATATCAATCCGCCTATGTCCACACCTATTCCCTAACCTCTAGCCTGAGGGAAAAGATAGCTATCAGGCTTCTATTTTCATATGTTCAGCCACCATCCAGCCTCGTATCTGTCTAAAACACTCATGGGTTTATATGCGGACATGCCTGACTACTACTACAAATTCATAGTTGCGCATAAACAGGTGGTAAGTGGAAGTGAGACTGGGCAGATTGTAAATAATTGATTAGCGATAATTTCGGAGTAATAAAGCGTATAGTCCAGGTTAACGAGTCAAACGGAAGATTATTATTATTATTTTCACCACTTAAACACATAAAAATTGGTACAAATGGGCACCAGTATACATATTGCACACTAAGTAGTTATCGTCCAATTTGTGTTGTGACTGAAATGCTGTTCGTGACCAAATTAAAACTGGGGATTTTTTGGAAGGACATTGCCCGAGCCTTTGACCTAGAGATCTTATTTACAAAGCAGTAGAGCAACGGTAGGAGATGGGGCCCTATGGTAGCTATTAACCAATTATAGGTCCAAACACCATTTATTTCCTCAGCAGCCCATGTGAACCATTGATTCGAAATCAGGGTTTTCCAACTCCCCTAGGTGAAACATCCGTACCTACAAAGCGTCGGAAATTCTCCTTTCGTCTTGATTTCTCTATCAACTCTTCAGTCATGAGAAAACAATGAGTAGGACTCTCCCAAACGTGGGTCGTATTCAGACTCAAATGGGAGTTTATGATAAACGGAATAGAAGAACATAATAGTCTTGTTATTTGATAATTGTACACTAGGTACAAATTCTAATCAATAGTAGTTCATAAGGTAGTTTCGTCGGCTACCATTTTTGTGGCATTCCCTCGGCAACAACAGAGATCTGATAGACGTTCATTCTGTTACTTATTTATTCAAGTATGGATTTTTTTTTCCAGTAATTTGATGTTTTTTCTTCTAAATTCATGTATTTCATTCATAAACAGGAAACTGAAGAACAGTCTATGCATTGTCTCTTAATTTTTTTCCAGTATATTATACGGTCGATTACAATTGTCCAAAGGTCAATTCACATCAGCTGTATTCACTAATTTAGCACAATATACAAATTCTGAATTGAATTTATTTCTAAGCTTTTTATTAGATCCATTTGTCAAAGAAACAGAATGTATTCAGTTGTCTACCAGTACTTTTAGTTCTACCGCCATCTCATTAAGTGATTGTATTCAATCGGCTCGACAACGTGTTCAACATACAATTGATGGTAAAGATACATTATCCTGGTCTCGATTACATGCGTACGTTTCATATTGATTGATTAGTGAAGTTTAATATTCATAATCTTTGAAGTTTATTAACTAAGTTGGATTTAGCTGTCTCCTCTAGTGAATTATTTTTGATACACAAAAGTCATATGGCATTTTGGTGAAGATCATGATAAGTTGTAAAAGAACACTCCTTTCTAACATCCTACGTACGGAATAAAAAACAGAAAGTTTTATAACTTTAGATATTTATCTTTATCAAATGCTAACTTCCATTCCTAATACACTATTCCGTCTCCATTGTAACGCCCTATACTTGAATAATTACACATTCTAAACTGCATAGTTCATCTTCAGCCAATATAGGCTACAGTGATCATGAGTGCTAACCAACTTCTCGTCTGAGCCATGTTGATAGATGCAGACTACTTGGTTGAGGTCTGCATGACTATCGTCACCAATATTTGGAGACTTGGTGACATGGCTCAGAATCGATCACGATGGCGTCGGTGTATACACTCTTTGTCTTCCTTTAAACTATGAGATCAAAATTGCTTCATATCTTTCTTTCAGTACTATATCCTTGTACACAATCTTTTTCATATGGTACTATCATTGAATTAACTACTTCTATGAATTCGGTGTTGATCTTGTTGTGTTAACGAGGTCTGGCAACTTGGGTCGATGTACATATGTGCCTGATCCTACGTTGTAGCTGACTGACTGACTGAATGTAAGCTACACTACTGTTAGTCTGCAATTCACGAGTTTTTCATGATACACTGCCCTGAGTTCAAAGAGAAGTCAGCTAACAACTATCTCAGGTATTCATTAGTTCGTATACATGAGTTATTAGACGAAAAATCACACAAAACAAGATATAATATCTCGAACACAATCATGCCGTATTTAACAGAGAGCGTAGCAAACAAATTGGACACAATTAATTAGTGTTAATTGAGGAATTGTAAAACGTATAATGACAGTTAATAGATCTATCCATTGAAAGCTTACAATAAGGATAATATGCAAGTACAATGATACATTTATCAACTAATTATACAATCAAAAGCTCAATTATGATCATTAGAAACGATAAATGTCATTGCATAACACTTTTGTACAATTTGGAAGCAGATATAAAGGCAAAGATTATCAAAGCAAAGGCTGCATTCCTACAATTGAAGAACATATGGAACCTAAAACAACTTCTGATCAATATCAAAGTCAAAATCTTCAATAGGAAAGTCAATACAGTTCTACTGTATAAAGCTGAAAATTAGAGAACTACTACAACTACATCGTTAAAAATGTACAAGTATTTATAAATAGTTGTCTACACAAGATATTCAACATCCATTGGCCGGATACCAGCAGCAACAGCCTACTGTGGGAGAAGACAGATCAGTTTCCAACTGAAGAGGAAATTAGATGATGGAAGTGTATAGGACATACATAACGGAAACCACCAAACTGCTTCACGAGGCAAGCGCTAATTTAAAATCGTGAAACGAAACCAAAAATAGGAAGACGAAAGAACACACTGCGTTTGGAATTGTATGCATTTTATTTTATTTAGCACATTGATATTAGTACAAGGGGGTACCAGATACATATGCGCCAAACAAATGTCATTAGATCTGTGTGAGGGCTGTGATACTGATAGGGTGCCCAAACCGAAGCAGGTGGTTTTCTTAGGAAGCCACGCCCGGAGCCTTCGATCTGCAGGTCTGATCCACAAGGCAGTGGAGCATCATAAAGAGATGTAGTCCCATGGAAGCCAGTAACCAACAATTGGTTCATACGCCATTTGTCCCTTCAGGATACTGGAGCCCATGTGCACCATTGGTTTGGAATGAGGGTTTGCCAACTCCCCTATGTGGACTCTCCATGTCCACCAACCCAGTTAAAGCAACGGACATTCGCTTTTCGTTCTCTCGATTTCATAAACAACACCCTCGTCACGAGAAGGCAGTGAGTAGGACTTCTCTGGCAGAGGGTATATACGCGTAGCCATGTGAGAGAGCATTTGGAGAGGGAGAGCTGACTCTCTCCACTCTCGGCAGTATCATGGCATTTGGAGGCTATCGAGAATGCTAATGGTGAATCTATTCTTTTCCACGATATGTAACAAGCATAAGTAAGTTTGTACAAATTGCGAACAAACAGCTTACAGGTCATGTGTGGTTATATAAGACAAAATAATCCAGACTTAACCAGTTAAGAGGTTTCTCTATCGTCATTTACCTCTAATATTTTTCTATGCCTTGTCTCTTCCTCTGTATGTTTCCATCTTCTAACAGATTATCACAAATTATCAATCAAACATTAAATTATATGGGTCATCGTTTAAATATTGTCCATTTAAATGAGAATGAAGACGATCTTGTTGAGAATTCCAATCCAATAGAACTTTCCAATAATATTCAACGTGCTGATATTCTATTACGTTTAGCACTATCTTTATTAGCTATGGTGTACGAAGTAAAAAAGATTAAATTAGAATCAACTAATCATAATCATAATCGATTACCTTTAACATCTCAATTAAAAGCTGTACGTTTAGCTGCTATCAATTTACTTGTCCATTTATTCTCATCCAATTGGTTATGTGAAATTGAATTTTGGGGTAAATCAACGATCACTAATCATGATCTGGATCAAATTGTTTCGTCATCATCATCTTCACCATCATCATCAGCAGCAGAAGCGGAAGCAGATCGTTCAATCATTGTCAAAGAAATTTGTTGTAATACATTTCTATTAAATGATTTAATTCATAGTTCTACATTATCATTAAATCATTTAATTATACAATTATGTTATATATGGTCTAAATCAACAATCTATAATGGGTATTTATGTAAGAAATTTTTTAATCAATCATTATTGGATACATTATTTAAATTATTAAATATGAATATGAATACTACTAACAATACTACTAATCATACTACTAATACTAAATTGAAATTGAAGAATGAGATTATTGAAAAGCTTATAGAAATTATCCATAATTTAACATTTCTACCTGGTAAGTAGTATCGATTGTTTCATAATTGATATTATTATTGTTGTTTCCATGTTATTATCATATGACTGATTCACCAATCCTGCCCCCCGAATGTCCTGGTATGGCCGAGAGTGAGGTGGGCCCGCCCTCCCTCTCGAAATGCTCTCACATGACCACGTGTATACAGTCTCTGCCAGGGAAGTCCTACTCACTGCTTTCTCGCACCACGGGTGTTGTTTACGAAAGTGGGAGGACAAAAAGCAAATGTCCGGCGCTTTAACCGGACCTCAAACTAAATCAATGATGCACGTGGGCTCCAATATCCTGAAGGAACAAATGGCGTATGAACCAATTGTTGGTCACGGCTACCATGGGATTGCATCTCCTTATGATGCTCCACTGCCTTGTGGATCAGACCTTTAGGTCAAAGGCTCCGAGTGTGGCCCCTTAAGCAAACCACGTGGTTCGGTTTGGGCACCTGGGCAGTATCACAGCCCACACACACACAAATATGGTGTCGCGCATATATATTTGGTGCCCTCTTGTACCAATGTCTATGTGTTCAAATAAATAAATAAATTCACCAATCCGAGTCCAACTTAGACAGTCTTAGTATTGTGCTAAACCATTCATATTCAATTGATATGAGTAGCCTAGAGTCTTTAATAATTCTTTGTTATCCTAACTCTTCTAGTTGGGTTCAGAACGCCAATAGAAGGTTCGACTATGCGAATCATTCATTACAAACATACTTGGTTTATATACTAGCCAAACAGAAAACATTATAATATAAAATAGGAAATAAAATTTTCAAGAGATCAACCAATAAATGCTCTGATACGGCCGGGAGTGGGGAGAGTCAGCTCTCACATAGCCACGCGTATACAACCATTGGTAGGAAAGTCCTGCTAACTACCTTCTCGCGGCTGGAGTGTTGTTTAAGAAGTTGAGAGGATCAAAAGCGAATGTCCGGTGTTTTAACCGGGTTGGTGGATATGGAGGGCTCACGTTGGGGAGTTGAAAAACCTTCATTCCAAGCCAATGGTGCACATGGGCTACAGTAGCCTGAAGAAACCAATGGTGTGTGAACCAGTTCTTGGTCACCGGCTAACATGGGATTGCATCTCCTAACGTTACTCCACTGCATTGTGGATGAGACTCCTTAAGAAAACCACGTGGTTCGGTTTGGGCACCCTATCAGTATCACGGCCCACACACAAATCAAGTGACTTATGTGGCGCATATCTATTTGGTGCCCCTTTGTACTAATATTTAAGTGTTCAAATATATAAAGAAGTCAGAACGTGGCTACAAACGTGGGAGACTGTAATCAATAAACTGAGCATAACTTAAGAACAATAAATTCTATAATAATAATTGTAATCCATAGGTTAAAATGAAGCTTATAATAAGAGGAATATGAATATACACAATTTAATTACAATGAGACTATAATTTATGGACTACCTTTGAGCAACGCTAGATTGACCTTGGGAGTGTCCACCTAATAACGGAAACCGAATGGAGGCTATAGACCTGCGTGAAGAATTAAAATTATGATTGACATTTGATGATTAATGTCAGGAATCAGATATAGGGTTTTCATCATGAACCGATATCAGCTATAATGCCAAAACCCTATTTATTGAAATAGATGAGTGAATTTCGCGCCAAAATTCAAGACCTGTTATCTTATACGTGATTGGTTCGTCCACAAATTATAGTTTTGCCTATATATATATATATATATATATATATATATATATCTTTTTAGAGTATTGTATTTTCTCCTTCTTGACGATATTCACAGGTTAATTTCATCAGTCTATGTTCGTGTACACTTTGATGCTTCGACAAATTATGTGTAGTTAGAGAGGCTACAAGTTGACTCATTGTTATATTTATATAGAGTAAATGGAATGTAGTTAGTAGTGGAATCTTAGGTGTGTATTTCGTTCTATTTTCTCCTAACTCATCTACTGAATTTAGCTGCACCCTAGATTTTTTATTTTCTCTCCGGGACTCGGACCTAGTACTGGTCACTTTAGATACCAAGCCCATTATTCATTCAAAATACCAAGTCCAGATACCCACTCACTTTTACAACGGGTATGAGTTGTATTCACTTGATATTGTTTTACTTGAATCTTCCCATTGATGTTTTTGGACTGAAATTGATCAGTCTCTTATTGGCATATGTGCATACTGTGCGTATGCCTCGATATTGCCTTAATTTACAAGCATTATAACGCGATGGCGTTTGAAGCGAACGGTACTGAGTTCGAGTCCCAGAGTGAACATCAATTCTGAGATGCAGGTACATCCAGCTGACGAGTCCCAAACAGGACGAAACGCGCGTCCTGGATTCCACTGCTAGCCACTATCCATCATTGCTTATAAGGGTATGAGTTGTGGTTCACTTTGAAATGATTCGTATTATTTTATTAATATCTTTAATCAGTTTTCGTTGGCATATATGTACATCTTGTACACTTATGATCATTACCGTAAATGGGATTAAAGCAATTTACTTATCAATTACAAACTTGTATATTCGCTTTTGATAAGGGATACTGAAGCTTGAGAGCTCCAAGAGCCAAATCATATCATGTGTGAACTACCATTTCTCCAGAGATTTCAGTTACTACATCTCACTGACCGGTCTCAATTAGCATGAAGCCTACAATTTAGAATTTCTTGTTAATCCATTCCAATCACCTAACATTAGGTTGTTTGTTGTGAATATGACCGAAAGTGTATTGTTGTTGAAATCTATAGTTTCCTTCTTTCATATATGTATATATAAATATATCCTTTTCTTAATAGATGTATCCACTACAGGTCGTGTATTATTACAATCTTTCCATTCGGAATTAGTCAATTATTTAAATAAACGTTTACAAGAATTATGTCAAGTGAAATCGACATTTTTTGCAAATCTTGGCAAAAAACCACAATCAGGTTTACGTTTACAACGTGAATTTCAATTAGTCAGTTATTTAGCTCAGTTACCTTCTCATTCAATCAGTAATAATCATGCAGTTATGAATCAGCATACCAATATAAATTGTTTGACATCAGTTGATAGTGAACGATTACTTCAAGCATTATTACAATTACTTCAACGTTCATCAATTCGTTCATTGCGTAATACCACTTTGACCACTAAATCAGCATCATTTAAACATCGTGTAGCTAATAATCTCTTAGTGAATTCAGATGAATCAGCTATACGTTATGATTTACAGATGGCTACAGGTGAAGTGGTTGAAGCAGAACTTATACAATCTATTCTTCATCTTGTACAGATTACAACTAATATTACTGAATATTTAAAGTGAGTTTAAACATTAATAATTTTTCTAAAACAAATTTCTGAGTTCCGCGAACCGACTTTAGCTACAGTATCATTGAAAAACTGAAAACACTAGACAGTTGTTTCTTCCTAGTGTGAGACTCTCACTACAGAGAACCAAATCCAGGAACTCCATCCCGCGCAGAAACTTGAAACATCGAACATTGAGCCAGTATCCATTGGTATATTTCTCTAACTACAATGAATTCAAAATATTATCCAACCATCTCCCATTGTCTGGAGTCAATAACTGTCGAATACTTGACATGGTTGAACTCCATTGATCTTTTATATATTACTAACATTGGAGTAACTAATTCCATGAATTTCGCGTTCATCTTGTTATGCTAATGAGTTGTGGCAACTTGATCCGATGCATATATGTGCCTGGTCCTACGTTGTAGCTGACTGACCAGTCAATCAGCAACAACGTAGAACTTCGTACGTACGTACATCGGTTCGAGTTGCCATACCACATTAGCACAGAGATGCAGTTGTCGATTCAAATCCCGTAGTGGTAGAGGTAGTAAAACTATAAGCAGTAGTCGGAAAGATAAGGGTTTTAAGATGTTATTCAAGGGTTATAATCCAGTGAAATAAATTTGAAAAGAGAAAAAAAAGAGACAAGGAGGATTCAGGAGATTAGAATTTGGGTGAATACAAAGATTGGATGCACCTACTCCTATACCATTGAGTATCACACGTCTAGGCAGTCGGTGGTTGGGCATACGTAACACGTGTCCCAGCCATCTCAACTGATGAAGTTTCACTACGTCATCAATTGATTTGCCATCCTTACTTAGTACTCGTTTCCTAACAACTGCATTACTTACTCGATGGTCCCACGATATACGAGCAATGTTTCGAAGACATCGATGATCGAATACTAGTAACCTACGTATATCCTCTACTCTTACTGGCCATGTTTCACTGTCATAAAGTAGGACGGAACGAACTGCTGCGCAGTAGACGCGTCCTTTGGTTGATAGACAGATATCTCGCCTACGCCATAAATGATGCAAGTTGGCAAAAGCTAGTCGAGCCTTCTGTATCCGTTATCCAATAGGGTTATGTGCATTAATGTAGTCCATAAATAATTTCCTAGCAACAGCTATGGTTCATTTATTCTTTGTCTGGATCTAACAATATATACGTATATTTGTTTCTTTTTTTTCTTTTACAGAAAAATATTGGATTTATTTGTTTGTTCTAAATCACGTATTGCTCGTAGTCTCCTATGTCAAGTAGTCGGTGTTTGTACATCACGTTTAACAAATTGGCCAATGAATCTAATTGAAATGATTGAGAAGTTGAATAAGAATACTAAAGAGGATAGTAAAGAAGAAACTGATCAAGTTAATAATAATTTAAGATATTTCAAGAAATATTTATCAGATCATAATCAATCAACTGATGCCATTAATAATCTAACTCAAAATGTACTATTAATGGTAAGCTGTTAATAATGTATGTATGTATGTATTATTTATATAAACACATAAACTGGTACAAGGTGGTACCAAATAGATATGCGCCACATAAATCCTTCGACTTATATGAAGACTGGGATACTGCCCGGGTGCCCAAACCGAAACAGGTGGTTTTCTTAGGAAGCCACGCATGGAGCCTTCGATCTAAGGGTCTGATCCATAAGGCAGTGGATCAACGTAATGAGATGCAGTCTCATGGTAGTCAGTGACCAATTATTGGTTCATATGCCGTTTGTTCCCTCAAGATACAGGAGCTCATATACACGATTAATTTGGAATGAGGGTTTTCCAACTTCCTTCGGTGGTCTGTCCGTAAATAACACCCGCGACACGAAAAGGAAGTGAGTTGGCCTTCCGTGGTAGTGACTATACGCGTGGTCATGTGAGAGAGCATTTCGTGAGGGAGAGTTGACCCTTCTCATCCTTAACCGTACCAAGGCATTTGGGGGGGAGTATAGAACTCCGGTTGTTGTTGTTATTATTATTATTATTATTGTTTTTCTCTCCGATTTGTATTAACGAATCATTATTAATTGCATATATATATATATATCCTTATTTCTTTTTTGTAGTTAAATTCATGGGATCTTACCCATATTGATCAACCAGATATTCATCAACGTGCTAATGGTTACAATTTACTTATTGAATTATGTATATTAATAAAAATCAATAATCCACCAGAACAATTATTATATTTACATCAAGCTGGTTTAAATTGTGCTATTTATACAATAAGTCATGATGAATTACATTTACGTGATATTGCATTAGATTATACAATACATTGTATTGAATCTATTCAATCGAGATTATTAATGAAACAAGATCAAGATCCAAATGTTACCATAGATACAGATCAATATTATCATGAATTAATTATTAAAGGTTTATGGTTAAATTTAATGAAATATTTACAAGATATAAGTGTATTATCTAGTACAAAACGTTTACATTTATTACGTTTATTAAATTGTATTATACGTACATATCAATTAAGGAGAAGATTTTATTCATTAGCATTATTATTAGATAATTATTCAATGAATAATGATTTTTATATGAATTTACAAAGTGGTACATTAATACGTCAATGTTGTGCAATACGTCGTTTAGCATTATTTTTACATAATCCATTAACGATTATATCACGTCGTCAATTGAATAATCATTCCTTAGCAACTAATAATCACAGTAACAATAGGGGTAATAAGAACAATTTTCCTATATCACAAAAAGATTTACGTAATATCTTTTTACCAATTATATGGTTTTATTTAGAATCAGAATTCAATTCATCTATTGATTATAATAGTACTAATAATTTATCAGATAATCATAAAAAATTAATTGATTATTGTTTAGATGCTATAGAAGGGATAGCAAAACATTTTGATTGGAAATATTATCGATTTTTAATAGAATCAATAATTCATCGATTAAATACATGTATAAATATTCATTTAATATCACAAATTATGATACGTATAATTGATGCATTTCAACCACCAAAATGGAATACTTCAATAGATACTAATGATGATGACGACGGTGACGACGATAGAGAACAAATGGATGATGAAGAAACCAAAGAAAAGAAACAAGATATTGATGATCATTTAAAGAGGAAACAAAAAGTTTGTACTGAACAAGGAGAAAATTCAATGATTCTTAATTATATGCTTAATGTGATTAAACGATTAGAACCATTTATCATTAAACCAATAAAAACTAATAATACTACTGAATTAATGAATAATAATAATCAGCATCAAAAAAAGGATAATAATAATCAGAATCAGAATCAACCATTGAAAATCTCATTAGTTATATCATTAGTGATGTTGCTAAGACGTTTACCATCAGGATATCTTGAATCACGTTTACCTCATCTTATTTTACGTATTATGGATATTTTAAGACCATCACGTGATATACATTATGAAATACGTTATGAAGCAATCAAATCATTATCACGTATTGGACGATTATTAGGTCCAAGTAAAGGATTAAATAAATTATTTGATATTGTTCATCAACAATTAGATCGTGGTGGTTATACATATTGGCAAGTAAGATTATATACATTACATCGTGTATTCAATGAAGTAGAACAAGCTATCATATCCGGTGAAGTATCTTATAAATCTGGTCAATTAGATTATATTGGTCGTATTATGAGTCGACTTTATTTAGATGAAATGATTGGACGATTAGCTGAAGAAATTGATTCAAGACGTTCAGCTAAATTATCAAATACAAATAATAATGAATTAAATGGATCTATTCCTATGGATTTACCTGAAGGAAATGGATTTAAATCTCCAGAAGGTGTTACACGTTTATGTAGATTATTATCAAATGAAGGTATTATTCAATTATTTACAGATATTAAAATGGCACTTCATTGTGCTGCATCCGGTACTTCACTTGGATCCATATTCAATAATAATAATAAATCATCATCATCAAATGATTCTGTCGGTTGTGGTATACGATTTCGACATAAAGCATTAGCTAGACTTGAATGTACATTAACACGTCTTCCAATGAAAACTGGATTATTTTCTAATAAATATATTCAATCTCATTTAAATCTTATTATTGAATTATTTCAACAATTAGTTCATGATAATCTTGAAGAAATTACAATCAGTAATCTAGATTTCAATGAAACCAATACAACAACAACAACAATCGATAATGATCAGCATAGTAACATGATCACCGGTTGGTATCCATCTCAATCGAAATTATTAGAACCCCGTTGGAAATATTTAGAATTAGATTATGAACCAAAACGTGAATATCATTCATTGATTACACAATCTGGTTTAAAACAATCATATTTATTAGTATGTTGTGGTTTATCATTATTTATTGGCCTGATACGTTATCAATGGTTAAAACAAGATCAATTAGATCAATTACAATTATTAAATCAATTTCTTCCATCGATTATTACATGTCTTCAATCGAAATATATTCAAGTTTTAAATATCACTATTAAATGTATACGATTATTTTTATTGATTACATCATCCAAATCAATAATCAATCAAATATCGAAATTTTCTGAATATATCCATATAATTGGTAATCAATTATTTAATCTATTAAGTAATCAATCATATTTATTCTCAAATAAAATTGGATCGATTAGTTGCCATGCACAATATTTCACCAAGAATTTATATCGTACATTAGCTTTATTAGTTAATCATCAATCTAATTATCCATTATCTAAAGTACAATTATTAACCTTATTAAATATTGTTGATATTGAATTAACGCATAATCAAAATGAATCAATGAATTCATCATTAACATTATTCAATTCAATATTAAAACGTCGTTTACGTGATCCAATTATTCAAACCAATGAGAATGATACTTTAACTTTTATAAAAGATCCTAATTTATCAATCAATAATGAAGGATTAATTATTGCTAAATTATCCGATCATAATTATGATCCCAAAACGGGTAGTGGTGGTGGACAACGTTTACTCAATCTATTTTATCGATTACAATTATTATCGATTACATCATCATCGGAACAAATACGTAAAGAATCATGTAATTGTTTAATAACATTTTTATTAAATTATCCGCATCAATTAAAATTTCTACAACAATTTATACAATTTTATATAAAACAATTAGAATATAAAAAATCAATTGGACGATTATCAGCAATTGATTTATTACATCATCTTATTGATCAATTACCAATTACACGTTTTATTGGTAAACAAAATCAATATTTAGATGAAATGATCTTTTTAAATGTTAGCGTTGCTATTGAACGTGAATCATCAAGGAAATGTCGTCGGATTTTATTAAATTTTCTTAATTTATTATTTAATAAATTACCATTAGATTTAGTACATAATTATTTGAATGATTATGTAATAGGTTTTTTAACTGCTCCACCAATAACAAGATGTTCAGCACGTTTACTTAGTTTACAAATCATTATCACATTATATAATAGTCCATTAAGCTTAGTGATTAAACAATATCGTAATCAATTAATTGATATTATCAGTAATGATATATTACCATGTGGTATGATCCAATTAGATCGATTGATACAATCGAATACATTATTAATGATATCTACTGGTTTAAATGAATTATATAATAAGAGATCTATGAAAACACCAAAAGAAGAATGTAATTTATCAAAAATTATAAAAGAGGATGCTAAATGGATGAGTGAAATAGAATTGCCTACAAATGTTTATTCAGACGACGACGACGATGATGATAATGATGATGATGCTTCGAAATTGTCAAAAGATCATAATGAAGAAGATATAGATTTCAGTGATGATGATGATGATGATGATGAAGTTGACAATGTAGATTTAGATTATGATGAAGATACAAATGTTGATCCATTTACTTCTGCTACATTTAATAATGAAAATATTGAAAATAATAAACATTCTAATGATACTATACAATCTCATTCAACATCATCTAACAAAGAACTTAAATGTTCAAAATCGGTAAGTATTTCAAAGAAATCCTTCATTTCATTGAAATGAGTAATTTACTAGTTACATGGCAAATCGATCTTAGTTAAACCAGTAGGTCCTGGGTTTGAATCACGCAAGGGGCGAGGTCGTGGATGCGCACTGCTGAGGCGTCCCACAATACGACGAAACGGCCGTTCAGTGCTTCTAGGTTTTCCATGATGGTCTAGCTTCTATTGATTCATGATCTTAACCATTGAAATTACTATAATATCCACAAAACCTATCTGATATTATTCAACATATGCTTACTAGTGACTGGCTTCAAGAGGTATATCCTGGAGTTCTACTGAGAAGTAGTGACCAGTGGAGTTCAACCAGGTCTGTTGTGAGATAGTAACTCACTGAAGACAATGGTGAATGTGTCGCTCAATTCCGTGGATTAGTTGAAGTTAGACATTAACACCGTTGGATGCCGGCTCAGTGGTCTAGTGGTTAAGTGCTCGCGCGTGAAACCAGTAGGTTTTGGGTTCGAATCTCGCAGGGGGGCGAGGTCGTGGATGCGCACTGCTGAGGAGTCCCACAATACGACGAAACGGCCGTCCAATGCTTCCAGGCTTCCTATGGTGATCTAGCTTCAACTGACTTATGATCTTAACCATTGAAATTACTATGATATCCACAAAACCCATCTGAAATTATTAAAGACTAAACAAAAGTTTCATCTCTATACCTAGTTCTTCAACAGTGAACATTAAGGTGAGACCATAATTTATGGACGACCTTTGAGCGATACTAAAGTGACCTTAAGAGTGTTCACCTAATAACTAAGACCAAGTGAGGGTTATAAACCAGTGTAAGGAATTAGACTTATCATTTATAGTTAGGAATTACATTTAGAGTTTTCATCACGAACTGATATCAGCTTTAATGACAAAACTCTATTTATCCAAATGGTTGAGTGAATTTTTGCGCCAAAATCCGTTACCTGTTATCTTATACGTGATTGGTTTGTTCATAAACGATAGTCTCGCCCACATAATAATAATTTTTCTAGAGCCTCCTAGTCTTGTGTCATATTCCTGAAGAGTCTCATACTAAAATGGTAAAGCTGTTCAATGTTTCATGACTTTAAGTTTGAGACGTACACTATAAAATTCAATAATGTCCACAAATTGCTTACACTAAAACGTGTGACTAATAGACATGTACATTGAAAAATCATCCAGTTTATCACTTAGTAAGGAATTCAATATTAAGGTGAGTATACAGGTTAAGTTACAAGAGCTTGGTGCTATTAACCACTAGGTTCATTATCCATTCTAATTCAACTGAAATTGGAAATCTCGATTATTAGGTGTTAATTCATCATTTGAGGGCTACAGGTATCATGCTTGCAACGAGATCTACAAACCGCATAGATTCGATATCATGTATGATTGTGATTGCTCATGGTTAAACTATTCGAGACTGGAATGAAATTTCAATCCAGTTATACATAGAAAATACTTAAACTATCTTTATTTGTCGTACTATTTCACTCCATAATCAAAGACGACTAGATTAATTCAGAACACGAATGCAAATGTTCTTGAATGTATATTTAAACAATTAAACCAAGTGAAATTCACAACAGTGTTAAACAGAATCCAAATACAATAGGATTAAATGAGCATAATTCAATTGAGACAATATCAGTATTAGATTACTTACTTACTTGCTTACTTACGCCTGTTACTCCTCATGTAGCTGACTGACTGACTGGAACATAGGCCACCGACCAACATTCTCCAACCCACTCTGTCCTGGGCCTTCTTTTCTAATTCCATCCAATTCTTGTTCATTTTTCTCATGTCCATCTCCGTTTCCCGGCGTAATGTGTTCTTTGATCTTCCTCTTTTCCTTTGGCCTTGAGGGCTTGTCTTGTGATGCAGTTCGGTGCTTTCCTCAATGTGTGTCCTATCCACTTCCAGCGCTTCTTCCTGATTTTGTCCTCCACTGGGATCTTGCTTGTTTTCTCCCACAGTAGGTTGTTGCTGATAGTGTTTGGCCAACGGATCCTAAGTAGTTTGCATAAACACCTGTATTTTCTGGATTATGGCTTTCGTAGTTCTCCAGGTTTAATGAAAATAATTTAGCTAATATTAATGATATTTGTGAATCAATACGTACTCAATTAATATTTTTAATTGAATGGGCTAAAAATCTATCCGTATTCACATCATTAACAATTAATGATCAAGTAAGTCAGATTATAGATCAAAATGTACTTATTTACTTACTTATGCCTGTTATTCTGAATGGAGGAGGATAGACCGCTGACAAGTATTCCCTAATCTACTCTGTCTTGGACCTTCCTTTCTAGTTCTATACAATAGCTGTTCATTCTTCTCATGTCTGTCTCCATTACTCGTGGTAATGTGTTCTTTGGTCTACCTTTCCTCTTTTGGCCTTTAGGATTCCATGTGAGGGCTTGCTTTGATGACGTGATTGGATGCTTTCCTCAATGTGTGTGCTATCCACTTCTAGCGCTTCTTTCTGATTTCTTCCTCTACTGCAGTCTAGTTTATTATCTCCCATAGTAGGTTGTTGTTCATAGTGTCTGGCCAACAAATGTGAAGTATTTTGCGTAGGCAACTTTGAATAAGCACTTGTATCTACTGAATGATAGCTTTCATAGTTCTTGAAGTTTCGGCCCTATACACTAGAACTGTCTTGATATTTGTATTAAAAATTCTGAGTTTGGTGTTGGTGGACAGATAATTGTTTTAAGTTCCAGATGTTCTTCAATTGTAAATATGCTGCTCTTGCTTTACCGATCCGCGCTTTCACATCTGCATCAGACCCATATGTTCATCAATGATTAAATGAGCATAATTCAATTGAGACAATATCAGTATTAGATTGTCATCTGTTAAATCTTATTTATTTGACTTGGTTCATTCTTTTGTTTAGTATTCTTCAGACACTATACTTCTCAAATTAGTACATAACATATGATGGGGAAGCTATTTCATAGACAGATACGAGGTTCTTCCCTATTTATCCGCTTGTTTTGATTGGCTAAGAATGTTTCAATCAGCGTGTTACAACGACCGTTTACGCGGAACAATCTATATCATGTTATTATCACCAGAAGAAGACGATTTGGTTGTTGTTGTGGTTGTGAGTGAGACTATAATTTATGGACGACCTTTGAGGGACGCTAAAGTGACCTTGAGATTGTCCACCTACTTACTATGGCTAAATGATGGTTATAAAGCAGTATGAAGAGTAAAGATTATGATTTATAATTGATGGTTAGGGTTAGGAATCAGATTTATGATTTCCATCACAAACTGACATCAGATAAAATGTCAGGACTCTACTTAGACAATTAGGTGAATGAATTCTGCACCAAAATCTGAGACCTATCATCCTGAATCTGATTGCTTCGTTCATAAATTACAATTTCGCTTTGTTGTGTTTAATGTACATCGACAGTGATAACTAGAATCATGATGAAATGAATCCAGGATTATATTATCATAACTGTCTAGATCTGCATTTTATTGAAATGAGTCCAACATGTCGCTTAATCAGCACGTCTCAAATATTTATCGATCAACAGAATAATGAAATAGGACTGAGTAAATAGGCAAATTATTGAGATATAACATACAAGGCATTCGAAATGATCACATAACTGCTGAGTACAACCATAAGAATTAAAGTAATGCATTTGACATAATCGTATGCTATGTTAGATCTGATGGGTTTTTGTGGAGATTGTAGTAATTTCAATGGTTAAGATCATGAGTCAGTTGAAGCTAGACCACCATGGAAAACCTGGAAGCACTGGACGGCCGTTTCGTCGTATTGTGGGACTCCTTAGCAGTGCGCATCCACGATCTTACATTCCAGAAACCAGTATCCAGTTGTTTGGATTTAATATACCAATATTGAACAACATTGTTAATTTTGAATTAAACGAAAGGTTAATCAATCTGATGATGATGTACTGAATTTATTATCTCCAAAACTACATTTTTGTTTTAGAGGATACTGTTTGCAAATATATTCAAGCGAAATAGAGGTCTGTATGAGTGTGTGTCACTAACTAATTGTATCACAGTGATTTTATTGTTACACTTATTTATTTAAATACAAACATTTGTACAAAGGGGCACCGAATATATATATGCGCAACACAAGTCACTTGATTTGTGTGTCAGCGTTGATAGTGTCCGGGCGCCCAAACCGAACCACCTGGTTTCCTTACGAAGCCACACCTGGAGACTTCCACCTAAAGATCTGATCCAAAAGGCAGTGGAGCAACGTTAGGAGATGCAGTCCTATGGTAGCCGGTAACCAACGATTGGTTCATACACCATTTGTTTCTTTAGGATACGGGAGCCCATATACACGATTGGTTTGGAATGAGGCTTTCCCAACTCTACTAGGTTGAACTTTTATATCCATCAACACCGTTGAAGCAACGAACATTCGCTTTTCGGTCCTCTCAATTTCGTAAACAACACCGCAAAGGCGAGAAAGCAGTGAATAGGACTTCTCTGTCAGTAGCCGTATACGTATGGCCATGTGAGAGCATTTGGAGAGGGAAAACGGACTCTCCCAGCTCTCAGCCGCACCATTTGGGTCTTATGGTTAAAACAATGAACTGAACATTTTTATCATTAAGAGACTACATCTAATTTATTGTTTAAAAACGATACTACTCAAACAAAAGAATTAATTATAGAAATAATTCAGTCTAAACAAAAATGACGATTTGTATTATCAAATTGTTAATATTCTAGATTGAAATATCTATACATCCTAAATAGTTGTATGTTACGATACATTAAATAATCAGATACATCTCGTTGACACATCTCAAATAGGATGAAATTTACTTTCACTACTGATCAAAGTTCAATTATCAGTCAGTCAATTAACGACATAGAACTTCGTACATACGTACATCAGTCCAAGTTGGCATACCACATTAGCACAGAGATGCAGTTGTCGATTCAAATTCCATAGTGGTAGAGGTGGTAAAAGTATAATCTCGAGTTTGAAGATGTTATTCAAAGAGTATAATCCAATGAAATAAATTTGGAAAGAGAGAAAAAGAGTAAAAAGGGACATGAAGAATTCAGAAGATTAGAATTTAGTAGAACACAAAAAGTGTGAATGCACCTACACCATTGCAAACAATTTTGAACCATGTCATTCAAGGTCTCTAACCATCGGTTGCTATGGTCTCGTGAATAGTCCAACTATACTAAAAATAGTATTATCTATTATATTCTTTATTAAATGCTTATCTCTTTTATCTTATCGTATTTCTCTTTTTTCTATACATAGGCTATTGACAACCAATATTTCTTAGTTGCTCATACATTAGAGCATGCTTTAAAATTGGTTTATCAGTTAATCACTGAATCAACAACAGTAGATTCATCGAATACATCAGATAACAATATCAATACATATATATCATCAATTAAATTATCCTCATTTTGGCGTATTCTATTAAATGGACCTAAATATAATAATAATAATAATAATCAATTATGTCTAATCACTGAATTTCAATCAAAGAAACATCGTAAGAAATTGAATAAACGTCGTGAACAATATAGTACATTATTCTCTATGGAAACAACAACAACAACCACCCCCACCCCCACCACAACAACAAAGAATATAGAAAATAAAACTAAAAAAATGAGTTTATTAATTGTAGGACATCGTGAAACACGTGAATGGGCAACACGTTGTTTAAATTTATTATTAAAATTAGAAATCATTACAAATCAAGATCGTTTTATAAAACAACTCAATGAGAATAATAATAATAATATAGATACTGAATTATCTGGTTTAAATGTTCGATCAGCTATATTTAAAAAATTACAAAAAAATAAAACAAATTTCAATAAAGTAGTAAGTTCATTATTTTTTTATTTAAACACATAAACATAGATACTAGCAGGGTGGGGCCAGGTAGGTTTTCTTAGGGGAAAGGGGCTACACCCGGAATCTTTGATATAAAGGTCTAAATTTGCCCCCAAATGCCCTGGTATGGCCGAGAGTGGGGTGAGCCAGCCTTCCCTCTCGAAATGCTCTCACACGGCCACGCGTATACAGCCTCTGTCAGAGAAGTCCTGCTCACTGCCTTCTCGTGGCGGGGGTGTTGTCTACGAAAATGAGAAGACGAAAAGCGAATGTCCGGCGCTTTAACCGGATTCCAAACCAATGATGCACATGGTCTCCAGTATCCTGAAGGAACAAATGAAGTATGAACCAATTCCTTGGTCACCGGCTACCATGGGACTGCATCCCCTCATGGTGCTCCATTGCCATGTGGGTTAGACCTTTAGGTCAAAGGCTCGGGGAATGGCCCCCTAAGATAACCTACTGCTTCGGTCTGGGCACCCGGGCAGTATCACAGCCCTCACACAAAAGTGTGGTGCATATATATTTGGTGCCCTCTTGTACTAATATTTATGTGTTCAAACAAACAAACAAAGGTCTAATTCACAAGGTAGTGGAGTAGTAACTCAAGAAGATGCAATCACATAGTGGGCAGCAATCAACAATTGGTTCATACTCCATTTGTTCCTTCAGGATACTGGAGTCAGCCAATGTGCACCATTGATTTGGAATCACGGTTTTCTAACTCTCTTAGGTGGATTCTCTATATCCATGAATCCGGTTAAAGTGTCGGACATTCACTTTTCATTCTCTCAATTTCATAAACAACATCCCCATCACGACAAGGCAGTGGGTAGGGGTTCCCTGTCAGTGGTTGTATGCACATGACCATGTGAGAGAGTATTTGGAGAGGGAGAGTGGACTCTCCCCACTCTTGGCCGTACCAGGGCATTTGAGAGCAATGCGCTGATGCATGTGTACCTATTACAGAAGAATAGTCAAATGTGGTAAGATTTCTTCACCATTTTGTTTGTTTGTTTTCTTTAAACGGATTCATTTTGAAATGAAAAAAGCAGCGATATGTTATACGTAAATGCTGTTAAAGGTGTATAGAAGATTTTCACTTTCCCGTTGTCCATATCACATGAAAAGATACTTGAAGTATTAGAAATGAAAACTAGATTGATGGTAGTTTCGCTTATCTTATAAGCATGGTAACTTTTAGGATCCATTTATGGACCAATACTATGTGTATATTTTTATCGTATAATTGTTATATAACTAAACTATACATATTCGTGTCCGTCTTATTATGAGCTTCATTTTGACCTATGAATTGTTACTATACGATTTTACATTCTTGAATTATACCTTGTCTATTAATTACTACCTCCCTCATTCACAGCCACATTTGACTAATTCTTGTACAAATGTTGTTTCATATTTTATGGTACGGTATGGTCTGTCTGGTTAGTATATAAACCCAGTATGCTTGAAATAAATGACTCGATATTGCAGAGGCTGAAATTGGTGTTCTGGATTTAACTGGTTGGGCTAGGCGGAAAGCCGGACCAATCAGGACTCTAGACTGTTCGTACGGATTTTACGCGTCATTGGTCCGATCGATAAGTCACTGCTCTCTAGTTGGGGGTATCGTTACGTTGTGCAATATCAGGGCACACAGGCCATAAGTTATAACAGCTCATCTGCGTGTATTGCTAAAAAGCCTATGAAAATACTGGCTTACTATAGGTGGTGAAAAATCGGATCATCATAACAGACAACTCTAATCATGTTAAGGTAGCAGATTCGGTCGCTTCATAGTAACCACTTTCGTGTTATCTATTCTTAATATCTCGGATAGACTTTATTGATAAGGATTTATTTTTATGATCAATAACTTGACATCCCTGACTGTCGCACTAACTATTATAAGTTCAAATACAACAGAGAACATTGCTTTCCTCATGATTACAGTTATTGTGTATGGTTTCTTATCGATACTACCTGACTTCTATTTAACACTAAACATGTAGTAGTAGGATATTGTTTGTCCATTTTTTTCAACGGACCGATATGTCCTGAGTTCGAATCTCACGAGGCAGGTTCGTGGATGCGCACTGCCAAGAAGGAGTCCCACACTAGGATGAAACAGCCATTCAATGCTTCCAAATTTTTCATGGTGGTCTAGCTTCAATTGACTCATGACCTTAACTATTAAAATTACTATAATATCCATAAAATCTCTTCTGATGCTAATACTTTAATTCCTTACTGTATAAAATTAGTTTTGTTCAGTAAAGAGATTCTGATGAATAGTTACCAGGGAATGAATTATATACTAAGGAATAAAGAGTGAGTATATCTGCTTAACTGTGAACAATTCTAGATCAATAACTTTATGTAATAATATTACATCTTAATTTAATATTTCCCATCAACTTTCTTCATACATACACCTACACTGGTCAGTATTATGTGTTCAAGGTATGAGTAATACATATCTCAACTATTACACCCTCATCAACTGATTCGCCATCTTTACCTAGTGACATACATCTAATCTCATCATACTCTTCATTCAAATGGATCTCAACATACAACCGAGCATCATCATCATCATCTACCTATCAAGATTTGTTTTCCTTCATTTCTTGTGTTGCTTTCACTTTGCCACTTTCTCTCTTTAAAAAAATTTAGTTACAAAGAATACTAAACGACTCATTATTTCAATTGGAAGTTGATGCACGTGTACCTATTTCAGAAGAATGGTCAAATGCGGTAAGATTTTCTCATCATTTATGCTTGTTTATTTACTTTAAATGGATTCATTATGAAATGGAAGATATTACCCCCATTACATTTAACGGATACTTACTTATGCCTGTTAGTCCCAATGGAGGAGCATAGGCCGTTGATCAGCATTCTTCAACCCACTCTGTCCCGGGCCTTCCTTTCTAGTTCTATCCAATTGTTGTTTATTCTTCTCATGTTTGTCTCCATTTCTCGACGTAATGTGTTCTTTGGTCTTCCTTTTCTCCTTTGACGTTGAGGATTCCATGTGAAGGTTTGCGTTGATGACGCAGTTGGGTGCTTTCCTCAATGTGTGTCGCATCCACTTCCAGCGCTCCTTCTTGATTTCTTCCTCCACTGGGATCTCGTTTGTTCTCTTCCACAGTAGGTTGTTGCTCATAGTGTCTGGCGAACGGATACGAAGTATCTTGCATAGTTAACTGTTAATAAACACTTGTATCTTCTGTATGATGATTTTCGTAGTTCTCCAAGTTTCGACCCCATACGACAGAACTGTCTTGACAGATAGTTAGTCAAATTAAACATGGACTGTAAAGTTCCAATTCGAATATTCCCTTAAAAATTACCTCTTTACATTCTAAATAGTTAAGCGTCATTAAGTCGTGTTTTTTTTTATTATTTTACCATGACAAGTTGAAACCTGATGATATTGTTCAACGAATAATACAATTTTCATAATTGAACCATCCAGCTCAGACAGAACATTACATTCATCATAATTTCTTCATGTAACTGAACCTTCTCAAATATATAGACTAATAATGACATAATTAAAAGCTGTTGTCATCAGTTCATAATAATAATAATAATAATATGAGTTAATAGGGCTTATTTTCAAATATCTTGACATCAATTGTAAATATTGATTTTGCTTAGTTAGAAACTGCTTCCAACTCTGTTGAATCAATCAATTTTACTGTTATTCTGGACCCCCCCCCAAAAAAAAAGCTCTCTCACGGTTACGTGCATACAATCACTGCGAGGGAAGTCCTACTCAATACCTTCTCGCGGCATCACTATTGTTTACGAAATTGAGAGCATCAAAAGTGAATGCCCGACACTTTAACCGGGTTGGTGGATATGGAGGATTCACCTAAGACACTTGGCAAATACTCATTCCAAACCAATGGTGCACATGGGCTCTAAGATCCTAAGGTAACAAATGGCGTATGAACCAATTATTACCCACTGGTTACCATGGAACTGCATCTCCTGACGTTGCTCCACTACCTTGTGAACTAGACTTTTAGGTCCACGGCTCGGGGTGTGGCCCCCTAAGAAAACCATGTGGTCTGATCTCGGGCAGTATAGCAGCCCTCACATAAAGAGAATGATTTATGTGGTGCAAATGTATTTGGTGCCTCTTTTTACCAATATTTATATGTTCAAATAAGTAAATAAACTCGTGTTTTAACATTGCTTTTTTCCCCACCACAAATTCTAATATTATTGGGTGTTCATCGTTGTTTCCATTGACATTGAACTAATTCCTATCACACTGATATATATGTCGCATATTCCCAGTACATTACCTCTACCGCTATGGGATTTGGTTCAATAATTGTATATTTGTGCCAATGTGGTATAGCAACTCCAATTGATGTACGTACGTACGAATTTCCACAATGTTGCTGACTGACTGACTTGTTCATAATTTTTTGATTGAGATCATGAATCAATTGATGTTATACCACCGTTGGAAACCTAGAAGCACTGGACGGCCGTTTCATCCTAGTATGGGACTCCTCAGCAGTGCGCATCCACGATCCCGCACCACGCGGGGCTCGAACCCAGGACCCATCGATCTCGCGCCAGGCGCTTAACCAACTAGACCACTGAGCCGGCATCCAATGGTGTTAGTATCTAACATCAACCATAATTATCAATCATTTACAGTAAATAACATAACAGTATGTTTTTTCCTTCTTTCTCTTTTATCTTTAATTCATCCCCTTTTTTTCCATTTCTCCTTTTTTATTCAGTTATTATCTAATTTAATTTATCTTGGACAATTATTACATTTAAGTGTTGGACGTAAACCAGTATTGAGAATATTTCGTATTGCTAATAAAATTGCATTAGATGAATTAAACAATAGACCACAATATTATTGTCAAGTATGTTATAATGATGACTGTGTTTGGTTTTTCTTTTCTTTCTTTTCAAATCCTCTAATTGACTGTTATAGTGCTTTGAATGGAAAAATTATTACTATTATTATTATCAATCATGTATTAGTTATGAGCGATACACATAATCTTTAGAACCTTAAATAAAAAGTGATGGTCGTCAGCGTTCTTTCATACCGCTGCAGAATGTCATAAATTGACCCCGCCTATTTCGCTCTGTACCAACTTCGAAAAGTGATGCACTACTGTGTTGTGGGTTACTTATATCCACATAAGTAGTATATAATGATGGTCAGACATAGAATCTATTTCAGTAGAAGATCGATAAGGAAAGAACGGGAATGGAACGCAATTGGTATGAACAACAGAATCTGAGACTGATATTCGCAAAAGGGACGATCAAATTCGAGACGATGGATTGATACTTTGTAAATTAACTATTTACTGTATAGTTCTCAGATTTTAGTGAGATACTCTGTAATTTTGTGTCACATACATTCGATTGTCCCCACTTGTGTCCCTGTTCACTACATTGCGTGGGAGATGCTGGGTTAGATTCATAACAGATGTCCAGGTTACTGAACCTAGTGTTTCAGGATGACGACAATCACTGAATTCTCGTCATTGCGTCCCAACTCTCATTGTTGAACGTCATTATTACCAACATGGTGTTGCCATCAAATATCACCACTTCAGAGGAGTCGGATTGTTCTCATGGAACTATTGTAAACCGAACCCTTCACAGTTAAACTAACACCACAATAGCACCAAAACGATCTAGATCAATGTAAGCTGACCTGACTTTTACTATATGTAGATTGATTCCATCACTTACACCCAACCCACCATCAATACTCGTACAACTATCGAGATATGGAATTTTCACTACACATTTTCATCCGTCATATAGAAGCCAGTGAATGTAATAATACTTAACAGTCGAAATGGCATTACGACTTCTGTTTTCAGAATGGGTTTTGTGGAGAGTTTTAGAAATTTCACAGGTTGAAATCATGAGTCAAGTGAAATTTCTAAAACTCTCCACAAAACCCATTCTGATAATAATCAACTGCTCACTAGTGACTGACTTCAGGAAAAACTCCAGGAGTTCTAGTGAGAAGCCGTTACCAGTGGACTTCAACCAGGTCTGTTGGGAGATAACAACTCACTGAAGACAATAGTGTACGGTGGCGCAAATTCGTGAATTGGTTGAAGTTAGACATTAACACCGATGGATGCCGGCTCAGTGGTCTAGTGGTTAAGTGCTCGCGCACGGAGCCAGGTCCTGGGTTCGAACCCCGCGTGGTGCGGGGTCGTGGATGCGCACTGCTGAGGAGTCCCATACTAGGACGAATCGGCCGTCCAGTGCTTCCAGGTTTTCTATGGTGGTCTAGCTTCAATCGACTCATGATTTCGACTTCTGTTTTATCACCTAACTTAATTTGAAACTTTCGAATCTCATATACACCTTCCTGTTTCTTTTTTACAGAGGCTGCTGGCGTTGAAATTGACTACCGGCCTTTTATTACGTCTACCCCATCCGAATACAACGCAACTATTTGATATGTTCTCACTAAATACTCAACCTTCAAGTGGTTCTGACAATCAATCAGATGAAAATCCATCCGTTGAAAAACAAGTTCCAGCTTATTTCGCCTACTTAAGATCTGCTTCGAAATTAATAAGTCGAGAATTCCGTCAGCGTGAACGATTAGCTTTTACAGCAGCTTCATCGTTAGCTTCAGCTGTCAACGATGATACAACAGATATTGGCGCTAGAATACGACTACGTGGTATGCATCTTTCTAGAGAACTTACGGTCAGAGCGAAATCAAGACAAAGAAGAGCACAGGTGGGTTGGATGGTCGGTTTTTATTTTCTGTATCGTTTACTGTGTGATGTGCATTCGAGTATACATAATTGAACAACTTAAAGGGGAATTCTCAGAATCCTAGTTCAACCATGTTGAGAATGAGATAAGCATCACCGATAACAAGTGATGGTTGCCACACGACATCGCAAATTCCGGATCACAGGGACTCAATGGTATAAAAGTTACACACTTGACTCGATGTCTGGAGATTGTAGGTTCAACCCTTACAGGAAATCGTGGATGCACACCACTGAATCCCTATACTAGGGCAAAAAGACTGTCTAGTGCTTCATGTTTTCCGATGTCATTCTCAGATGTAGACTATTTTCTAACCATCTTATAAATTTGTGAGTTGATATATTGTTTCCTTTCGTTTGTTTTAAAGGCTCGCCTTCGTCGTGCACTCATGTCAGGTACAATTAGACCAGAGAGTGCGAACAGTCTTGTTGCCTCTGTATCAGCTGGAATGGCAAAGGCAGGACCTGATCAATTAGTTGAATTAATTGAGTCAACTGAATCTGCTCTCACCCAAGAACTTGGTGGTGGAAATCACCAACTCATTCAAATTATATGCAGTCGTGCATCGTTAGGCGCTCGTGCTATTCGAGAACGACGTAATTTGCATAAAGCCACTCGTAATGCTCTTGGCATGGCATGGAATGGTCCAGTAAAAAAGAAATCCAAGCTACCAGATGTAACATCTCAACCTTTGGAAATGAATAATTCCAGTGAGAACGAAATTCACACATCTAATCGGTTGCAAAAAAGAAAATTATCTCCGAATGAAGGTAATCTATTTTATATGTTCTGAATGGTTCAGTCGAATGTAATCAGACTGATTAGTATATATATAGCTAGTTGAAATGCCTATTCCTCTGCTTCAGTTTAGGCAACCGTAAATCATGACTCAGTCAGTCATACGCAATGTATAACATCCACATGTGTAAATCGTTTTAAGTTGCCACACACTACTGGCACATCGAGATGATATAGTCAGAGCGAATTCCACAGTAGTAGATGTAGTTGTAATAGAAAAGATTATGCATCGAAGGTGCGATGCGAGAAAGTACAAATTATCAAAATAAACAAATGTATGGAAAATTTAAAGACTTACGATCTACAGGAAGGCAAAATGCGAATGGACTCACACCATTTCAGGTGCGTTACCTAGAAGCTCCAGCCATTGGTCACGACAATGATACGGACTCGAACCAAATAATCTGCACCTACCTAAATGACTTAGTCTAACTGGTGTGCCGTCATAGTTTTCTTACATTCTACTCTTACACCAATTAGTGGATGGACATAAGTATCACATGCCCTGGCCATGTTAGTCGATAAAAAATTCGCTACCTGTTACGACTTTTACCCCGTTAACTATTACTTGACTAAATCACCAATTAGAACACCACTTACACGACCTTAACAAGTACTCTGTGTTTAACTTCAGTATTCCCAACTCGGTAGTTCCAATGTGTAAGACACCTATGATCGAACAATAGTGACCTACGAATATCATCTACTTCCAAGGGCCATGTTTCACAATCATAAAGTAGAATGAAACAAACTACTGTACAGTAAACTCGTCCATTGGTCGGTTGATAGTTATCTCACCTACGCCATAAGTGACCCAAGTTGATAAAAACCTGCCGAGATTTCTGAATTTCTTTCGCGATTTCATCAGACATCATAACTAGTCACTGCACTTAAAGCGTAACTCAAAGCCGATTGTCAAAAAGCTTGTACTTAGGTAGATTTAAGTAACATGAGTAAATTTGCGTTCGATTCACTCTCTGTTTGTTTTAGAAGATGAGATTCACATTTCATCAGTTTGATGTTCATTGGATGAATATCTACCACATTTTTATTGCAGAACTATTTAGCAGCAATGTACAAACTACTAAATATACTTAAGTTGTGATCCATAGAGTGTTTGATCGTTAAACTGCTTGGTCAGTGTTAGTTATAACTAGGCGGAGAGAAGTACAGCCATATTATCACTATCATTCGGTCACTACTTAACCACCCTATTGATGGAGTCCATCATATAGAACTAAGCAATTCCCTTATTTTGTATTCTTTTTCATCTTTGTAGAACATAATCAAAAAGCCACACAGCACAAGAAAACGAAAAAACCGCGAACAAGTTTGTGAAAGCACTTTGTAATCCTGTATTTTTTCTTGTCTACAATAAATATAAATCAATCAATTGTGAATTTGTGCTTCTGTTATGGTGTAGTACAATTAGTTTCACTAGGAACAGGGTTTTAGTATTATGTTGTGGAAAACCGACCACCTTTGTGATTTTCTAACCAAAATACACTATTACTTCTGATAAACGAATTATAGTCATCCATCTGACAATCATATCTAATACTGCTTTAAACTGAGCGATGACATAACCATATCTCTGTTAATTATACACCTTACAAATAACATTACTTGATGACTTGCTGACTAATGCGTGTCTAAAAAGTATAGACTTTTTAATTATACTCTGCCGAACGATAATGCATGATCTGTGGTTCGAAATCTTGAAAGGTATGACTAAGATTTGTTTATAGTAGTGCAGTTGCATCCGTGATGAAATTCGATGGCAGTTTATTGAATTGAATAAGATTATGGTAGTTGTACGACGCTTGATACAATAAACAAAAAGAATCACCACCAGTCAGGAATGCAAACTATCAAAATCTTTTGTTTTTAAAATATATTTAATACTGGTCACATATTGACGTGATATAGCTCAGAATTAGCCATCATAGGGTAGATGCATTCAGACCAATGCTTTATCTACTGAGATAGCTGCTAACTTGTTCAGTGGGTATGATGCTTATGTTTTTTATTAGTAAAGGTTCGAATTATTTTGTTTTTAATATACAGGACTGGATTTTGATCAAATTTTGTTGGTATATGTGCGGATTACTTCGATATAGCCAGTTTGTCACAACTTTTCTAGACGATGGATTGTTGCTAGTAGCGGAATCTAGGACGTGCGTTTTACCCTACAACTCTTAATCAAGAGATAATCACTGTAGATTATATAAACCATAAGAAAGAAATAGTGGTTCATATTCAGTGCATGACTTAACAAGAATGTTACTGAATATTATCCACAATAATTTACAGCTGTCTTCATCAATACTTTAATATCCAAGAGATTCAAGCTACAACATTGGAACTTTGTAGTATTATTCTCGTTTTCCGGTATTGTAATAACCTTGAATAAATATCCGCGAAACTAAAAAAAACATTGCACAAAGATAAACGATAAACAACGGATAAAATGTGGTCAGTGGTAGAGAGTCCAAGATGTACATTTCTCCTAATTAAGATTTGTCGACTGAGGCACCAACAATGGGACAAGCCAAATCAATTCAAAACAAAACATTGTAAATCAACAAATTTATTTTTTGCTAAAATCTACATAGAGATACACATTATCAGTTAATAAACATTTCGTTAATCCTTGATGATAAACTCTGAATCCTTGAAAATATTTTTAAAGAATACATTCAATGAATTTTATTTAACCTACTTCAAATAAAAGTGGTCCTTCAAGATCTTTATCACGTAAATGTAGAAAGAAGTCTTGTTTAAATCGAAATAAACTAGGTGGAGACCACTAAAATAAAATGAGATAAATAAAAATTCCAATGGGAAAAACTTACTCTACCAAGAAACGCATAATTAGTTACACTTAATAAAGGTGGAATAGCAAATGTTATTCCGGTTACTATTGAAAGCGCTGGAAGAATTTCATACCACATCACGGTGAAGATTACTAAAGCAAAGAAAGTAACAGATAACCATTGAAATGTACAATTACTATGAACTTATTTATTTTAACACATAGACATTGGTACAAGGAGGCACCAAATACATATGCGCCATACAAATCTCATTCGATATGTGTGAGGGCTGTGATATGGCCCGGATGCCCAAACCGAAGCAGGTGGTTTTCTTGGGGGGCCACTCCCCGAGCCTTCGACCTGAAGGTCCGATCCACAAGGCAGTGGAGCATCGTGAGGAGATGCAGTCTCATGGAAGCCGGTGACCAACAATTGGTTCATACGCCATTTGTTCCCGCAGGATACTGGAGCCCATGTGCACCATTGATTTGGTTTGGGGTCCGGTTAAAGCGCCGGACATTCGCTTTTCGTCCTCTCATTTTTGTAAACAACACCCCGGCTACGAGGAGGCAGTGAGTAGGACTTCCCTGGCAGAGGCTAGATACGCGTGGCCGTGTGAGAGCATTTCGAGAGGGAGAGCGGACTCTCCCCACTCTCGGTCGTACCTACTGGTTAAGAATGTATAAATATACACTAATTCACAGTAACTAGTCAATGTTAACAATTATCTGATGAACAGATTTCCTTTGGTTGCATTTCTTACAAAGTCATAGGTGCGTGCTGTTGAAGAGTTCGGAACGAGGAGGAATGAACAGTTTAGTGGTCCCTTATTTTTTCAATGGTTAAGATCATGAGTCAGTTGTCAGCGTTTCTCCGGATAACATCAATTTCCGATTGAAGATTTCTTTAAATAACCAGGATAATGAATGATTAGAGAACAAACATTCTTTAATGATCTGAAGGATAAGTCAGTCAGCCATACGCAACAAAGAAACTGACATATACGCCCATCAGTTTGAATAGCCATGCCATATTAGAACAAAGATAAAATTAAAAGACTAGTATTTGAACGAAGAATATTCTTTTCGATAAATTCTCTTCAGGTTTTACAAGTTATATAACCAAATTAATAATCCGAAAAATGGCCAGGTTAAGGGCAAAGTATATCGTTTAAAGCATGTGAATTTAGGATTGTGATATACAAAATACAATAAAATTGTTAATGTTAATATGACTCATATAGAATGTAAACTTGAATCAACTTATATGTTAAGTAAAATTTTAAGACCCATGATCAGAATAAATATGGGTCAAACAGGATGAGAGAGAAATAATAGTGCAATTACAATTCGATCAAATAAGTATAATGACGAGGATCTTTAAAAGATAAAATTATTTCAAAATAAATCCCTGAGTAATAGAATTGCTAACAATATCAGTAGTAAAGTAGAAAAGATTAGGAATAGGAAAAATGATATAAGGCAGATCCATAACTCAGACTCTAAAGCAAAACGTCACTGTGAACCATTCTAAGCCGTATCACCAAGTCTCTAACCATTGGTTAAGATAATCACGCGGACTCCAACTAGGTAAGTAGTTTACGGTTATTAACACGGCTCGGCGCAACTGTCAGTGACCCTACGAACTGTACTATATCGATTTGAATGCCTCTAACTTTCTTCAGAACCAATACACCGCCACTTTATGTAGACGGTGGTTAGACATAAGTAACGCATATCTCAACTATTTCAACCTCATTGTAATATTTACCTATCACATGTCTAATCTCGGGGTCACTAACTTGGTGGTCCGAAAATACATGAGCGATACTTTGAAGACGCACCATCGAATACTAAGAATCTAGTGATACCCTGTTCATCAAAACTGTTCACCAATTTGTAGAAAGAACTAGTCCAAACGTAACTTCATCTGTGAACAGATAGAAATTTGGGTTAGAACAGCAATACACTAGCAGTAGTTAGTAAACAGGACGGTTCTTCTCAGCCACGACTAGCCGTCTTCTGATAAACGCACTAAAACGTATACTTTTTAGATATGACTGATACAACCAAGAGCAATGAGCAACCCCCTTTTCCTTTCGTCCAGCTGCACGTTTATAACCAAAACAATGAATATTATTTATTTGAACACATTGGTACGGAGGAGCACCGAATACATATGCGCCACACAAGTCACTTGATTTGTGTGTGAACTGTGATACTACCGGGGTGCGCAGACCAAAGCAGGTGGTTTTCTTAGGGTGCCACACCCCAAGCCTTTGACCTAAAGGTCTAATCCACTAGGCATTGGGGCAGCGTTATAAGATGCAGTCCCATGGTAACCGGTGACCAATAATTGGTTCATACGCCATTTGTTTCCTTAGGACCCTGAAGCCCATGTGCACCATTGATTTGGAACCAAGGTTTTCCAACTGCCCTAAGTGAGTCCTCCATATCCACCGACCCGGTTAGATATTCTCTTTTCTTCCTCTCAATTTAGCAAACAACACCAGTGGTGCGACGTGGTGAGTAGGACTTCCCTGGCAGTGGCCGTATACACGTGGCTATGTGAGAGCATTTGGAGAGGGAGCCAACTCTTCCCACCCTCGCCGGCATCAGGACATGTGGTAAGAACGTTTTTATAGGTTATATTTTTTGTTCACGCTATTTATATATTTCAGAGTGCTATACTAGGCTTTGAATTAACATTGACCTAGATACATCGAAGTTTATTTTTTAAATCGTTCTCAGTATATGCTTTCACTGGTGACAACTCTATTATTCATTTTTACTTCACATTATCGAGTCGACTATTAAAGAGGCTGATTGGAATATGCAATGAGATCACTTATGTCTTACTTCCACAACGGGAATGATAAAACAGAAAGAATCAACACAAGTACGAAACCTGTCACCAATAACAACATCCACTTATGTGCACTGATTTGGTTAAATATCAATCAAATCCTGATTTTATTCACCTGATTTTCAACTCCTGTTTTGATTCAATGAAGATTATGCTAGGTCTTCATATATACTTAGTTATTTGAGGGATTCAAAATGAAATTTAAAGGAATATTTTCCTAAACAAATCTACCAGTCTGATAACTTGAACACGTTTGATTGGGTACTCATAAAAGTTTATTTTAGATAATGATACAGACCAAACAAGGTTATACATAATTAACTTATTACTTTCTATTCCTCCTTGATGAATTTTACAAATACAAAATTATGCCACCCATTGTTCCTTAGCAATTCCATTGGGGACTACCGTTTGTCAATATGATTTGTCTCTGTAGGAAAGGACCTACTCGGTAACATGAAGTTAGCAGAACAAAGAGTAATAAATACTTATCAAAAGAATCTAGTGAGAACGTCTGGAATAAAAAAAATTAAACCATAATAGAGGGTTAATCGAATGAGCCAGGAGCTGGACGCGAGAAAGGACGCCAGAGTTCGACTAGTTAGAGACACTTATCCTTTTTTTACTGTTTACTAATTATTTGCTCTTATTGTGTCCGATTTCCTTGTCTTTATGAAAACTCAGATACAGTAACGACGAAAATACCTTCAAGTGAATCAAACTCAAAATTTCTGACCAATCACAATCCTATTTACTTACATTCGGGTTTCACGAGTGATAACTAAGAACATAATCAATGTGTATACAGACATTCTGATATATATAGAGATAATCTTACAGGCAACTAGCCGTGTTCGTTAGCTATTTCGAAAAGAACTAAGGCGAAACAATCTTCCTACATACAATCCATAAGTTGAAGTGCAAAAATAATACTGTGCAACTATACAATAACACGTCCCAACTACTAACATTAGAAAGCTCTTGAACGCGCCCAGAACAAGGGTTTAGAATTGTGCGGGCCACTTCAATATCCAATTAGAAATGTATTCAATGTGAGATAACCGAACTGTATAGATAAGGGTGAAAACTGTGTGATCTGCGAAGTAGTTACTGATATTTCGTTATGCAAATAGTAGTCAATTGTAAAACATGAATCAGGCATAGACAGTAAGATGGAGATGATAATCCATAGGGTTTGTCAGGTTTTCACTTGAGCGCATATTTGGGTGTTCGCTCTTTGATTTGCAGTCTTTCGACAGCTGTCTTGAGGGGTTTGGTGATGATGTTCTGGTAGTATGTCAAACGTAGATATAACGAACTATATGTTTTTTGAATAAACGATAAGGCTTTTGATCATGGAGATATATTCCGTTTGTTTTAGTCTCTCGGATTATTCAGGACAAAAAAGTTAATTAATAGTTACAAAGATGATGGAATGACGTGTAATAACGTCTTACTGTGAATGATTGCTGATGTATCAGTCTACAAATGGGGATTTATGAGTATCCGTAGCGAATCCTAGCCCTAACCTTATATTATCTTGTAGTGACTCACGTTTATCACGAGAACACGACTGGTTTATTAAAAACAATTATTATTATAACCAACTGTACCAGTGTTTGTCTTAACGTGCTTTTGTTTGACTGTGCTAATGACAGCTATTTTGTGCTTCCATTCTTTCACTTACACTTCGATTGTAACTTCGCGCGAATTCGGTTACCTTCTGTAACCAAGGTTGTATCCTGGCACGATCTCGGTATCCTTTCGATGCCACGAGATCGCCAGCTAATAAACCTCGACTTGGTCCATTAACTGTCTTCTGATATTTGGTTTCTCGGGGATTTTATGGAGTCATTTGGAACGAGCTTCTTACGCCTTCTGATTCGTTTGGCACGTGTTTCTTAGTAGCGGTGTTCATAGTTAATCTCAACTCGACGCCACGCTACAATTGGTAATCCCAATTCGAATACAATCTCATGAGAAAGTTGCGGTTTCATTTTTGGAGGAAGAACTCGATCTAAGAAACTGTAAGAGGAGAAGGGGTTAGATCACCTGCCGGTTTTGGGGCTTTGATGGGAAATTCTTCGAGGATAACCTTGACGATTGCATTAGAAACCGTTTTAAGAATTACTATGTCAGGAGGGAATATGCTATTCAGTGTATTTTAGAGCATGCTAAAGCAGGATATTACTTTTCTAGAGCCTGGTGGAAGTAGTTCTGACTGATGAAGTCAGAGTCTGTACCTAGCATCCTGTTGTACATTGACCAGCTCAAATTCATCGTCCTACTGTCCATACTCTTAAAATCTATATAGAATCGAATGTCGTCATGTCGTAATAGACTGGGAATGAAGGTTTCAGAATAGTAAATAGTCGGAGTTTAGCAGAGATTTGTAGCAAAAGCATGTGATTACAACCGGATATTAGCTCTTTCACGGATATTTCAACAGACATTTATTTGTGAAGCAGATACTTTGAGAAATAAGGTCTCCTATGTCGTAAAAAATATCAAATTACTTTTAGCTGTTACGTTATTGTGCGAAAACAACAACACACTTGCAGTCGCCCCACACTCGATTAGGTAGTTCAATACGTAGCATATTTGTTACTTTACATGTGCTTTAAACGGGGACATTTCGGTTATCTTACGGTTGATAGCGTCTTAAAAGGAAGTTTATGTATGAAGTATTGTTATGTAACTAGAATATGTTGGAACAACTGAACTGTTAATATAACTGGATGTCGCGCTGTGAACCGAAGCGTAATTGTCTGCTGAAACAACACTTATATGTCATCTTATTAATGGTGAAGTCTAATCAGGTCAGTTTGCTCTTTAACTTTCTGCGTTAAAGTTGACAACAGGTTCTTATTCCCTACGGAGATACCTCATAGATACGCAGATCTGTCTATTCAGACCATCATCAAATGTATGTTGGCTAATGAAAAATAACCACTAGCTGCAATTCCTAGAAGGACATTCGCTGAACACGGAATGATCATGAAATTTAGCACGAGCATATAAATCACCAAGATTACTGACAGTACAATATATAGACGACGCAGTTCAAAAAATGGTCTGTACAACCGTTTTAAAATGTTGAGTGATCATGTATATTTTCAGCAAATAAGTGTAAGATCCAAACTACGGCTTGGACTGCTAATTGGACTTCCCTACATGTATATACTTGCCCTTTGTTTCTATTGATCCCCTTAGTTGTACATTGTTGTCTTTTGATTACATTTGAATTGTTAATATTTGTATTTTATTACAGTTTTATTTTTATTACGCCTTCACTAAGTTTTCGTGTTTCTTCCCGAACTGCATCAGTGTTGTTTTACTTGCCGCTTGTTCTTGGCGGTAGCCATATTGACTTGATCCTCCTTTTGTGTGTGTTCTATCCAGTCAGAATAGAATAACGTTCATTTGTTGTGATTGGTAATTTTCCCTCATCTTTCATCAACTACTTTATTTATTGTAATTTAGATTTTATTGATTGAACAATTATTGGTTGAATAGCCGGGTGGTAATATTTGTTTAGGTAACGATTTACATTTAAATTTATGATGAATTATAGAGCCGCTATTTACCCGATTACTTGTTTTGATTTCGACGGGAAAGGGCGCGTGTCTAACGTACCTGGAAGGCTATTCAACAGTCCAAACCGTAGTTTGAATCTTACAGTTCTAAGCAAATATTTTGGTCGAATTCGTTTGGCTTTCGTTTCATTGATTCCAATCATTGTCTCTGGGAATATTTGGTCGTTCGTTCGCGATGCCGAACAATCGTCAAAGGAAGTCAAGATCAAAGCTCGTTGGTGTTAATGATGAATCCCCTATTACCAACAAAGTGCATTTTGATGTCCTTAAGTGTCATGGTTCAGACTCGAATAGGATTGATTGTCATGATAGTGACTCTAGTTTTAATTCGAGGTTAGATGACGTAGAAAAGTCTTAGTTTGAAGGAGAAGCAAAGGCTTGAATTATCAAGAAAGAGCGTTTTACCTATAGTGCCTGTTGTTGGTTTAGAACTACCAAAGGTTGAATTGAGTTATTTCGATAGTCAACCAAGAGGTTATTGGAAGTCTTTAAGGGAGTTTGAGACCTATGTAGAATCAAGGGTTAAGGATGATGGTCAACGTTTGCTTTATTTGATACATTATTGTAAGGGTAAGGCGAAAACAGCCATTGAGGGTTGTGTCATGATGGAAGCATCCTTTGGTTACAAGAAAGCCAAAGAAATTTTAAAACAGTTGTTCGGACAGTCTCATGTAATCGCTAGGGAGACTTTAGAGGACTTATTCAAAACTACAAATGTTGACTACAGTGATCCTGAGCAACTGACTAATCTAGCTATAAGGATGGAAAATTGTTCTATGGTTTTGAAACAGATGAAGTATACGGCCGACTTAAATTCTCTAATTACTTTAGAGAGAATAGTAAGACCCTTACCTCAAGTTATGCAAACCCAGTGGGCGGACTGGGTAGATGAATTGATTGAAGATAATAGAGAACCGACCTTTGACGAGCTTACCCAATTTATAGCATCCCGCGCGAGAGTAGCTAATAGTAGGTTTGGACGGTTAGCGAATCGTCCGAGAAAGGGACACAACTTAAAGCCGTCTTATTCAAGGCAAAGTTCGCGTAAAACGGCTATGATGTGGCATCGAATGGATGAGATGTCATGTGAAACTCGGATGGTTCCCTCGACATGTCTCCCTCCTGCCAGCACAGAAATCTTAAAGCTCCTCGATCAGATTCAGGGACCTTCACTTGCATGAACATTTCTTCAACATCCGCAGAGATTGCAACTGCTTCTTTGCGAAAACGCAGTAATACACACACTAACTCAGCAGTTGTGTCGGGTCCTTGATAAATCATATCATCTAGAGAAACACTTGCAAACTTGGCGGCACAGTCAAGGACTACTCTCAGTTTTTCTGGCTTTTTCGGATTTAAAACTGCATGGTGAGGTAAGTACCACCGGGGGCGATAACTAGGTTGCAATTGTATTTCAGGGATTTTCTCCGCATAGCCCTTAATAAAATCACTTTCAATACCTTTTGTATACTTGATATACAGAATGTCATCTTTCAACAATCTACGCTTCAAGCTCTGTAGTCTACTGTTTGCCACTTCATAATTCCCCCTTTCATATTTGGGTTCACTTTCCAAGGTACAGGAACAACAAAATGACCATTTTTGAAGCGTGTGCCCCCTTCCACAATCCTTATGGCCGCCTTATGTTCTGTTGATACTGATTTATCGTTTTCGCTGTGCAGCAAAGAATGGTGTTTCTTCTTACAACCATTAACGTTACAACGTTTTGTCAGCTTACATTCATTAACTTTATGTCCTTGCCTAAGGCTGACAAAACAGATACCTTTAACTTTTGCGTGAGACCATCTCTCGTGAACGGTAAGCGCTAAAAATTTTGGACATTTATAAATAGCATGGTCCTGGGAACACACACTGCATTTAGCTGTCTCTCGAATTATTCTCCTGCTCCAATTGCAAGTGACAATTTTTCTTTAAGTTGTGTCGCTTTCTCGGACGATTCGCTAACCGTCCAAACCTACTATTAGCTACTCTCGCGCGGGATGCTATAAATTGGGTAAGCTCGTCAAAGGTCGGTTCTCTATTATCTTCAATCAATTCATCTACCCAGTCCGCCCACTGGGTTTGCATAACTTGAGGTAAGAGTCTTACTATTCTCTCTAAAGTAATTAGAGAATTTAAGTCGGCCGTATACTTCATCTGTTTCAAAACCATAGAACAATTTTCCATCCTTATAGCTAGATTAGTCAGTTGCTCAGGATCACTGTAGTCAACATTTGTAGTTTTGAATAAGTCCTCTAAAGTCTCCCTAGCGATTACATGAGACTGTCCGAACAACTGTTTTAAAATTTCTTTGGCTTTCTTGTAACCAGAGGATGCTTCCATCATGACACAACCCTCAATGGCTGTTTTCGCCTTACCCTTACAATAATGTATCAAATAAAGCAAACGTTGACCATCATCCTTAACCCTTGATTCTACATAGGTCTCAAACTCCCTTAAA